TTCGTTATGGAGAAAAATACGGATCGACAGCTTACCACCATTGCTCTGTCGTGTTAAATGCTCCAGTCTGTGTGTGTGTGTGTGTGCGTGTGCGTGTGTGTGTGTGTGTGTGTGTGTGCGGGTGTGTGTGTGTGTGTGTGTGTGTGTGTGTGTGTGTGTGTGTGTGTGTGTGTGAAATCTGAGGAATGCTCCAAACCCCCATATCAACCCCAGGAGCCCCAGCTTCAATAACACCCCAATAAAAGAGGCCTGTTATTGTAACACACACACACACACACACACACACACACACACACACACACACACACACACACACACACACACACACACACACACACACACACACACACACACACACACACACACACACACACACACCAGCTAAGCATTCCTGATGGCTGCAGGCCATCATGTGGCTCCTGGCACCAGCATCCTTATTGAGTTTACAAACGTCCGTCCATCTCTAATGGGAAAAAAAGCTGAAAGTTGGAGTCAAGTCACATTATTGTTGTCAGTGAGTTAATAATAATAATAATAATAATAATAATAATAATAATAAACTCTGAACTCGGCAGCTCTTCACTCAGGAGGATCTTCGATGCTGGGTCCATAAATAACATCTTATAGGTAGAAACCAGATTTTTTAAGGCCCTGTAAAGTATGGTTTAGCATTACTGTCCGGGTGGAAATGGGGAGAAATTTGTGGGACTGGAGGCCCCGGGAGGTTTTAGGAAGGGCACTGAAATCCGGAACTCTCCCAGAAAAATCGGGAGAGTTGGTAGTTAAAGTTAAAGTCCCATTAGTTGCCGCATTTGACCCATCCCCTGGGGGAGCGGTGAGCTGCAGACAAGCCGCGCTCGGGAAGCATTTGGTGGTTTAACCCCCCAATCCAACCCCTTAATGCTGAGTGTCAAGCAGGGAGGGCGTTGGGTCCCATTTTTTCAAAGTCTTTGGTATGACCCGACCAGGAGTCGAACCCTGACCTCCCAGTCTCAGGGCGGACGCTCTACCACTAGGCCACTGAGAAAGGTTAGGTAGGTATGTAAGTCCGGTAGCAACAAAGCCAGGTCACCATCATTCTATGATGTTGTAGCATTTTTCAGCTTCCTTACATTAGCGTAGGCCGTGCCAATGTGCCCTCTGGTTTTAGCCTTTGCTTCGCCTACACACATCCCTCTCTCACTATTACTTCCAGGCTCCGCCATGATGCCACACGGAAAAAGTAAACTTCTTCTTTTTCTTCTTCTTGTGCTTTTTATTGACAATCAGTGAACTGAAAAAGCTAACTGCACAGAAAATAGCTAACAGCTGTAATGTAGATATAAGAGCGCCCCCTAGAACCCTACCCGCCCTACAGTATGTGGCCAGCAGAGGGCAGCAGAGTGGTGTCAAATATGAACCTGACAAGTTTCTGACCCAAGTACCACTGAGGTCAGTGTTAAAGCTCCAGCTTAAAGTTTACTAAATCATTTAGTGTTACTTCTCTATCTATCCATCCATCCATCCATCCATCATCTATCTATCTATCTATCTATCTATCTATCTATCTATCTAGATATAGATCTATATATTTAAGGTGTAAATAATGATACAGAACCATATCAAAAAGATAAAGAAGTAATATGGTTTAATGTTTAATTCCAACATTTTAGTTGATGTTTTATAGGACAGGAGGACTCACCTCCCACCCAGCCTTCTGGTTGAATCCTCTGGTGACCTCTGGGTCGGCGGGCGCCAGCGTTTCAGCGTTGTCTCCATCTTTTACTGATTTTATTGTCTTTTAGCTGTTTTAATGTGTTTTATGTTTGTTTCCTGTTTTTATGATTGTTTTTGGTGTTTATCTTCCTGTAATGATTATTGTTCCTGCTGTAAGCTTGTTCAGCACCCTGGTTGGCTGGTAAGGTCGTAGAAGGTGCTTCAGGAATGAATGAATGAATGACTAATTTGGTGCCCTGGGCTCCATTCCTCTCAGGAATGACTGATGGTTTATTTTGACGCTGGGAGGGAAAACACCTGAGCTGAGTTCATGAACGAGGCGGTTCTGCTCCAACAGGGAAACTCACCTGAACAGGTTAAAGGCGGTTCCTCACCTGTCAATCAGACCCAGGTGCGGCGTTTAGCGCCCTGGGGAGGGAGGGACCCACCAGTTTTGGGGATTTTAGGTGTTCAGATTATCTGAATTATCCTGTAGTCTGAGTTTAGGCGAGAGTATGGACTGAGTCAGCCTGAATCCGCCTACTTTCGCGTGTTTCTGATAAAATCTCTGCTCTCCCAGACAGACCCAGGGGGAGTGACGCACACCAGAGCTGACTCCACCCAGAAGAACTCGCTCAGCGAACCCAGAGACAGCAGAGACCATAAAAATGAGCGGTTCCCACCCCCGGCTCCATCAGAGCGCCGCGCCCGCTCCCAACGCTCTCTCCTCGGACAAGGACGCAGAAATGCCCGCCACGGAGAAGGACCTGGCCGAGGACGCGCCGTGGAAGAAGATCCAGCAGAACACCTTTACGCGCTGGTGCAACGAGCACCTGAAATGCGTCAACAAGCGGATCGGAAACTTGCAGACGGACCTGAGCGACGGGCTTCGGCTCATCGGGCTCCTGGAGGTCCTGTCCCAGAAGAAAATGTTCCGAAAGTACAACCAGAGGCCCACCTTCCGCCAGATGCAGCTGGAGAACGTGTCGGTGGCGCTGGAGTTCCTGGAGAAGGAGAACATCAAGCTGGTGTCCATAGGTGGGTGTGTTCCTGTACCTTCATCAGGTGTCAGAGATTAGTTGTTGTTGTGCAGGATGCAGATTAAAATCCAGCAGAACGGTAAAGAAGCGGGATTAAATCTGAGGTCTTCCGTCATGGAACAGCGGAACCAGGTTCTGCTCACCAATCAACGTGTGTGTGTGTGCGTGTGTGTGTGCGTGTGCATGTGCGTGTGTGTGTGTGTTCTGCTCTGGCCCAGTCCGGGTCCCGTCTAACATCTTCATGCACCCAGAACTCTTCCCTGGTTCTGGTTATCAGCCAAGCTGAAGCTCAGAAGTCTGATTCTTTCTCTGGGTCATGAACACATCGCAGCAGTTGAATGTTTTAGTTTGAAGTGAATTTTAACACATTTGGGAAAAACGGGTCAAAATCAGCGTCTTTGTCGTTTTTGTCCTATAAATGGTCCGGTTCAGGGGTGGTGAGTGTCAGCTGGTGAAGTTTGTGTCTAAGTGGGTGGGGCAGAGTTTGGTGTCCTCCTGCAGCACCAGGCTCCACCGGTCCTCCCCCAGCTTACCCCCCCCCCCCCCCCCAGCTGGCACTTGAGTCATCTCATCTGAAGATGAGAGGGCAGTCTGCTCTCTCCTCTTACTTCCTCTTCTCGTTGCAGAAGCAGACACACCCAGGCAGCAACGCTCACCACAGATTACCAAACGGGCCTCTCTGCTCAGCGTGGCGTGTGCGGTCCGGTCCGGTTGCTCTGACTCGGGCGGCTGCATCAGAACTTTGTGTTTATTCTGAGTTTAATTCCAGGTGTTTCTCAGCAACTCCACACCTGTTTCACTTCTCATTCTTGGCTTGTTTCTGACACTGAAGAGCATCAGGCGTTGCTCAACGCGGGGCAGAAGTTTGCTCCGCCCTGAAAGCCACCAGAACCACAGCATCAGCTTAAAGAACTGGACAGGAAGTGCAAATAAACCCTTAATCTGCAGCGTTGGTCACAGATGATCCCCACTCATCCAGAATTGGTTTGGATTAAACACACAGTTGTGTCTAGAAGGTTTCCTCACCAGAAGGTCCAACCCAGTCCCTGGATGTCCTCTTGGCCTGAGGCAACTCCCGTCCTCCTGTCCCGTCTGTCTTCTGTTGGGAAAGACGGTCTACAGAAATATCAGGAACAGGATTTTCTTCCCAGTTATCCGAACCACCGGAGGTGTTAACGACGCTTCCGGCTTCACATTCTCCACATGAACCCGTGTTCTGACGGGTTCTGTAGAACCGTCACAGGAGAACATTTAAAACTCATATTTAGGTTCCTGAAAACTGCTAACCGGAGCAATCGCCATCTAGTGGCCGGTTCCAGGGCATTTTTAGGCCACGCCCCCTCTGTGTAAATAAGAGGCCGTTTCCTGAGGTGCAGATTTCTGTTGATTCAGATGAAACTTTCACTTATCCAGCTGTGATCACTTGATTAATCATGGAGTCATGGGAGCGTTCCGCTCCACACCGGCGGGCTCCGCCCCTTGTCTGCAGCACGCCGTACACAGGACATCCTCCTCGCTTTAGACTCAGCAAGTCAGAAACTTAAGAAATGAACCGGTTTATCCCAACCTGCTGATCGTGCAGAACTCCGTTATCTTCCACCAACCGCTGCTTCCCCCAGCTTCAATGGGAGCGTCTCCGCTGGACCATCAGTGTAGCTACAAGAGCAACATGGCTGCCATCTAGCAGCACGAATCGCACGAGGTGCAAAGCATGATGGGATTTTCTGTGCCTAAGATATGGAGCTGCACCTTCACGGTTTTAAGGTGGAACATTTTTTGACCTTCATGTTTCAGGGGCGTGTCCAGGGAGTGGCCTGGGGTAGCACATGCCACCCTTGGAATCTAACTGGCCACCCCAGGTGCCACCACACTAGTTTACCTTTAAATCGGCTTTTCATTGTCCACAAAAGGCTTGGGGGGGGGGGGGGGGGTAAAACAAAAAAAGCATAACCATTGGTGCCACCCATGCACAAAGTTGTACCTCACCTGGGCCACCCCATTTTAAAAGATCTGGACACGCCCCTGTCAGGTTTGAGTCACGAGCTCTAGCCCCGCTGCAGAACCAGACTTGTTTGTGCAGAAGTTCTCCGTCTCCTCCAGCATCCAAGTCCGTCAGCGGCCCAGCCCGGATTCTCTAACCCTGCAGGAACATTTCTTAACTTGCCTGTTGGGAGTTCGTAGAAATGATGGCTGCTGACAAACACTTCCATGAAGTGGGAAGGAGAAACAAACGGAGGAGATGGCGTAACTCCGTACCTGGCGGCTCTGTGGGAGGAGCTGGGAGCAGGTTGAGACAGTCGCCTGTGAGGAGATCTCCTCCTGTCAGCTTGTTGCTTCACACAATCACAGAAAATAAAGAATCGGATGGTTTTCATTTAGTGCTTCAGACGCTTGTTTCAAATAAAACTGAGTTTAATAATCCCCAAAAAATCCTCTTTATGATTCTGAGGATATTTTTCTTTTTGAGGAAAGTTCTGGTGTGGCGTCCTTCGCCCTCTGGTGCCTGCAGGAGATGGACCCGCTTTAAAACACAAGACTAGATCTTATGTTCCAGACAGAAAAGATGTGTGAAATTTTATTTGTTTCTCGATCAGAATCAAAAACGACTCGATGCACAAGTTACTCCAGTTCTCTAGTTAACAAGTCCAGTGTGACGGGTCTGCCGGCCGAGAGCTGCACGGTGGCGTTTGGATGATGAGGTCGTCTTCTAAGGATCCATTTTCCAGACTTTTTGTTGCCGTGAGTTCACATCTCCTTTCTGAGGCGAAGGCCTTCTCACGGACGGTCAGAGTTAGGAACAGGAGCTGTTAAAATGTCCACATGTGCTCGTTTTCCACAAAGCCCTAAAGCATCAGCTGAGTGAAACGGTCCTTACGCTCTGGTTTGGTCTTTAGTGTTCATTTAAAACGTTTACTGACTCGTTTATGTTCTGAGGACTGATGAGCTAACGGCTAGTCGGTGGCCATCTTTAGTTCTGTCTCCAGGCGTCCCCGGCTGTTCAGCTACGTTATCGTAAGTCGTTTAGCTTTGGGTTTGTATCGGTGGGTTATTGACAGAAATATTAACTTCCCAGGATGCTCTGGAGGTGATGGTAGTATTTATGCTTAATCCCAGAATTCCATGTGAATAATCCCAGAATTCCATGTGAATAACTGCCAGCATGACTGTTTCTAACCTCACCTGAAACGCTGTGGTGGTTAGTTCAGACTAGCTGTTAGCTCCTCGATCTGCACCAAGGGGGTAACTCCAGCTGCCAAACGCAGGTGACCAAAACTACAGTACCCCCCTCATCCACTAGGGGCTGGCTTCAGAAAGGGGAGCGTTCCAATCGACTCCCATGTTAAAATGCGAACTTCCGCTCAGAGCGGAGCGTTCCTGAAACGTTTGGGGTTGGATCTAGTTAATCATGACAACTCTGAGGGGGTGAACTGCTTTGTTACTCATCTGTTTAGGTGTAATTGAAGCATGAATGTGTGAATAATTAGGGGTGTGTCCTTTTGATTGACAGGTAGTAGATGAGCTGGTAGCGCTAACGCTAGCAGCTAGCCTCCTTGCTTGCTCCAGGGAAGGCCTTTGAGGTGTTGCAGCCTAGAAGGCGGAGGTTAGCTGCTATAAGCCGCGCCAGCCGCCGTTAGCTCGTAGCTGCATCAACTCGGAGTTCTGGAGCGGTTCAGGAAGATTGTTAAATGGTTCAAATGGGAATTGTTAGTTTTCCCAGAAGGGACCGAGAGCTGAATGAGATCTCCATCCTGGAAGTTACCCTCGATAATGACTCCCACTCAGGGCCCTCATGGGTAGGATCATCCCGTGGGTCTTTGGGAGGAAACATCCTCGTGATGCCCTGGATTCTTGAATCCAAGTGTTTCCTGATTTCAGGAATAACCTGGAATTTCGACCGGATTTTTGTCCGTGTGAAAGCGAGATGGAGTTGAGCCTAGAGGGTGAAAATGGATGACCTCCTGTGGACTCATTAGCATTGGGACACGAGGAACGCTGAAGGGAATGCTGCAGATCACCAGAGCGTGCTCCATTCAGTGCAGCGGTATTCCAGCTATTGTGTTGCATCATAGCTGGAAAAGTGCCCCGCTGCCTCTCCGCTCGCGTTCGGTCTGAACACGCAGACTTAAAGGAGCTTTAAACGTGGACAACAAACCCGGAGCAGCGACAGAATGTTGGATCCATCCTGGGAAGCTGGGCGGGGTTCTGGTTGGGGGGGGGGGGGGGTCCAGGCCGGGAAACTTGGATTCTGCTCTCAGACATTTCCTAAAGTCTCCCGCTTTGTTTTAAACTTCATTAATGTTTCTGTCCTCCTCCCCTTCCTCACTGAAGATTCCAGCTTGTATTCCCAGACGTCTAGAGCTAGCCCGGACTTTAAAAGGCCCCTTGCAGCACAACTCCTTTTTTCCTCCATCCCGTCACTCCTCCCTCCCAGTCTGAAACCAGAGCCCAGGGAAAGGGAGGGCTGCCAAGATCCCGTTTGCTTTTGCCCTTTTAAGGCTAAAAAAGCAGGGGGAAGGTTTCACGCGGAGGGCGGGCGGGTGGCTGGAAGGAGCCGAGCGGAGGAGCAGGAAGCGGCTTCAGTCTGGCGTGTTTAGTGAATTTCTGAGTGAATGTTCTGCTGGTTGGGGATGAGCAGCTTCTCTGCTTGTGCTGCATCAGAAGCTCCGTGTCGGGGGAAGTTCGGTCCGACACGGAGGACCGGACGTTCAGGCCTTTTCCATTCACGTGCATTCATAAATAAAGCCTTCACTTCACACTCTGCATGTGGGCCCAGCTGAGCTTTTACTTATTACTTTTATTATATTATTATATTTATTACTCGTCTTGTAGAGTGTAGGGACAGCTACCGTAATGCTTGTAATGCAGGGGCACCACGGGTTTCTGGGTGTTGCTGGTTTGATGCAGACTGCTCTGACCCAGAGGGATGCTAGGATGCTAACCTGTTACCATCTTCAGTTAGGTGCTTCCAGGTTAATGCCTCCTATTGGCTCCCTTGCGGACCAATCAGCTGTTTGAGGGATAGATGAATAAAATTCCTGTTGTAGTTGAACCGGTGAATTAAAGTTTCTTAGGGCTGATTTCTCCTCTGATCCCTGGCGGGTAGAGAAGGTTCAGGAACGACGCTGTGGGTTTCCTCCACCAGATCCTCCATAATCTGCTCCAGGTGTTCCTGGACAACCTTAACATTGTTCAGTCCCCCCTCCCCCATCAACATGCTGGGATCAAACCAAGCTGTGGGTCAGAGATTGCGATGATGTCACTGCCGTGTCACGGGCTTGTCCCAAAACAACATTCCAAACCAGTGAGTCATGGGAATTTTGGGGACAAAAGGAAGCTCGGCCACATAACGTGTCCTACATCCAGTAGCCTCCGCTGGAGGCTCATAAAGCTGCAGCGAGGGGCTTGGGGGCTGTGATTCAGCAGCATTCTGGCAGACTTTGTCCGTATATGGGCTCCATCAGCCTGTGGTCTGCTGGGAATGCCGCCGGATTCTTGGCATGTTTAGTGGCTTTGAGAGGAGCACATCTGCAGCCGTGGTCCAGGAATGAGAGGATCCTGATGGTTAAGCACTTCTTCTGCCATTCCGGTCTCTCCAGCTGGAGGTGGATTCATGAGCGGCCTCTGTTTGGGATTGATAAGCTAACGACTAGGCTAAAGCTTTTTGTTGGTGTCTGAAAATGGCTCCAACCTCCTGAACTTCATGCAAACATTTACTAAACCTCTAAAGTCAGATGGTTTATAACGTTTCTGTAGAAACGGCTCCAAGCCGCTGCAGACTACGGAGCCCCACAGCCTCGAGCTCCTCGGGTGACTCAAGTTCTAGTTCTCTGAGCAGAGATCGCCCAAACCTTTTGCTTGCTGATCGTCTGACTTCCTCTGCTCTGGCTTTGGTTCTTTCTGCCCGACGGCTGCTCTCAAACACATCCTGCTGTAGCTAATCTGCATTCCTGCTGCAAGCACCAACCTGCGAGGCACTCATGCACGCTCCGCTGTAACCCTCCCATCGGTCCAAAGCTAATTTATCACTGGAGCTTTTATTTCTGGCCTTGGGCTACCTTTTCCGTCCAACCTTTGTCTTTGTACTTCATTCCTGAGCGGACCAAGTTGTCCAATAGCTGCTGTAGCGATGGCAGGTCGGGGGGCGTGTCATCCAAACATCTCATCTGACCTTATCCGGAGCGTATTTTTCCACTAGGAGTTGCTGACATGCCATCTATCACAGAGGCTGGAAAATGATGTGATGTGAGCCAACTGGGAGATGTTCCAGACTTAGCTGGGCCCTGTTGGCAAAACTGTCCTGATTGTGTTTACATTTGCTTCAGTTCCTGCAGCTCTCGGGTCGTTCGCTGCTCTTCCTCTTGTGGTCGGAGTGTGGTTCCTCTTCCTGAAAGTCGGACCTGATTTCGCGTCAGCCCTGGCGCTCTAAAGAAGCACCAGAGATGCTCAGAATCCAGCGGGTTCCCAATCTGGACAATAATCAGAAATTAAGTTTCGGACTCAGAAATTCCTGAAGTCCAACCCTCAGAGGCGCCGTCGGCTCGTTTTCCACACCCTTGTGCAATCTTCTTGCCAGTCAGCGTTTTCTGCAGCACCTCTAATATGATTACGGGGCCGTGCCCAGGCTAGCTCCAGTCTGCATCACTTTCTCTGCTCCCAGCCGCTCGCCTAGTTGAGTCTTGGAGCCACCGGTCCGACTCGCTGTGCTCTTGACGAGTTCAGATCTTCACTGAAACACTTTTACTTTGAACGACCAGAACATGATGCAACCTGCGTCCCCGACCGTCGCCCCGCTGCATCTCTTATCTCACTGTTGACGTTCAGATTTTCCAGATTTGATTTGAATAGAAAGTGTTCGATGGCGATCGGTAAACTTTTAGTATTTTGATTAGGGACGCACCGATAAGGAACACTGAGCCGATATCTGTACTGGAGGCTCTTTATTTGCTTGTTATTTGGACTTGAGAAGACTGAACTGCTTTGACCCCAGCAGTGAACCCTGAGGGACTCCCTACAACCCAACGAGATATAATCTGGAAACGTTTCTCCACTCGTCCTTCCTGCCCGTAACGGTTTGCTCCGTCCTTCCTGTAGCGGCGTTGTCGGCTGTTGGCACTTTTATCTTGTGGTTTTGTTGGGATCTGATTGAAATCTGTGCTATAAGATGCAAACTCTGTTCCCAACCCAAACGCGGACGTTGGGACAGGAATTCCGCTCCTCCCTAAGAGTCACCATACGTCAGCCGATGGAGATCTCTGAGGGAAATCTGGTATTCTTTACAGCTTATCTTTGTTTTTCTCATTAGACAGAATTGGTAACCTCCATGTTCTGTTTATTTTCTATGTTAGCTGTTACTTTAGCATCAACACCGGTTTCTGACTCTGTTCATGTTTTTTTATTTATTGTAACATAAATTTAAATCTGTTTTACTTTGGCCTTCCTTCAGACTCTAAGGCCATCGTGGATGGGAACCTGAAGCTGATCCTGGGTCTGATCTGGACCCTGATCTTGCATTATTCCATCTCCATGCCCATGTGGGATGAGGAGGAAGAGGCAGATGATGGCAAGCAGAAGACTCCCAAGCAGAGACTGCTGGGATGGATCCAGAACAAGCTGCCGGAGCTTCCCATCACCAATTTCAACCGGGACTGGCAGACTGGCCGTGCCCTGGGGGCCCTGGTGGACAGCTGTGCTCCAGGTGAGGTGCTTCAGGGCGGGAGGGAGGAGATCTGACCCCTCCTGCTCTGGTAAATTAAAGGGAGGGATGCAGGTGAGAGGTCAGGTGCCTCGTTACATTCTCAGGATGTTTGTCGCCTGTGGGTCTCCGACAGTTTTGACCCAGAGACGTCAACTCTGCTAGAAAACGATAAATCTGTTCAAAAACATGCTGGAGACGAGAGACGTGGTTTAACCTGCTCATAAATCACATAAGAAGGCTTTGCTCAATGGTCTCAGGGTAATGGGTTGTTATCCTCTGGATGTTCTAAAAGATGGCTCCACCGGGGACACATGCTGCAGGTGATCAGCTGTGTCCCAATTGCCTTTATTAGCTAAATGTCACCGCGCCTGCTTTAGGTGACCTAGTTTTTTATTTCTGCACATATCACTAAAGTCCATCAACTATGGTCCCAGAATGACTTGAGGTGAAATTGTTTACATAAAATCCAAGTTTCGTGCCTCTAATGCGGCTGACTTTATTTGCAGGTCTTTGTCCTGACTGGGACCAGTGGGATCAGACCAAACCAGTGGATAACGCCCGTGAGGCCATGCAGCAAGCTGATGACTGGCTGGGCATCCCTCAGGTAAAATGGAAGCACAACAAACTACTACGTTCCCCTGAAATCAGCGTATTGCCTCTGTGTGTGAAATGTGCTTCATAAACTAAGCTGGCTGGATTCGCACATTAGCGCTGAATAATGTCAAACTACAAATACGGTTTACAAAAAAATGTTTTCCTTCTGTTTTTAAACTTTGAATGAATGATGACTTAATGAATGAATAATTGGAACAATGCAACCTTGAAGCTAAAAAAATTAAAACGTTTACTTTTTGTTTATCCCGGACAAGCCCCCAACTTGTAATGACTTGGCTAAACGACCAGAAACTGGAGGATGAACATGATTAGAGGAAATTGTTAAATATATAAAATGGCATCCAGTGAGTGTAGGTCTGGGATCTGTGGTGAACGTGTGGATGGGGTGTGGTCGCCTCCAGCTGCAGAAACACAGTCCTGGATTTAAAGGATGGAGCAGAAGTTGGACTAGAAACTCTAAATGTGGTTTTCTGAGGTTAAATATTAAAATTGCTGTTTTGTTTTATTTACATTTCTATTACTGAAAACAATCTTAACTTAAACTTTATTGTGAAGTCTGGTTCTACAGATTAACTCTGTTCAGTTATGCCTTTATTTCTTTTAAATGCAGTTTTAATGAGTCAAAAAAAAAACTTCCCCATTGATGTTGACCCATTTGCAAATAAAACGGGTGCTTTCTGAGGTTTAGGGTAATTCAGCCAGCTTTCATTCAGAATGACTGGAGGCTTTTATTGTGGCGTTTTCTCTTGAGTCTGTCATGCGTGTTGGTACGACTGGCTCAGTGTTGCGTGCCGACGCTTGGCTCTGCGGTCGCCGGTGTTGCTCCCTGCTGCGTCTGTGGGCTGAAAACCCAGACACAGGTTCGCGTGCGACTAGATCAGGTACTTTCTGAGGCGAGGAGGAAGCTGGCACGTGGTTTCCATCACTAAATCACAACCTGATTTACACTCTGTGGTAACTGTCTCCATGGCAACGGCCCTGCTTCAGGCTGCACATCTTGGTTTTAGAGAAATGAAAACCTTTTCTCTGCGGGAAAACTTGATTTATTTTTTATTTTATTTTAGGTGATAACCCCTGAAGAGATCGTCGACCCAAATGTGGACGAGCATTCGGTCATGACCTACTTGTCCCAGTTCCCCAAAGCCAAACTGAAGCCCGGGGCACCTCTCCGACCCAAACTCAACCCCAAGAAGGCCCGCGCCTACGGGCCAGGTGCACGCCTCACACCTGTGGAGTGTTTTTCACATCATTGTTTATAAAATGAAACCTGGAGGATAGGCTTTAACCTGACCTCGTTTAAATTCCTCCTCTGAAGGTATCGAGCCCACTGGAAACGTGGTGATGAAGAAGGCCGAGTTCACAGTTGAGACCATCAGCGCCGGGATGGGAGAGGTTCTGGTTTACGTGGAGGACCCGGCAGGACACCGAGAGGAGGTCTGATCAGTTCTCACACACTTTAATAAAATTATCCTTTAATGTTGTTGGTTTTTTTTGACCCTCTTCATTTTTTCCTGCAGGCTAAGGTGACGGCAAACAACGACAAGAACCGCACCTATTCTGTTTTCTATGTCCCCAAGGTGACCGGCATGCACAAGGTGAGGTTAAAAGTTCTGGGTCTAACCTGTTTATTAATGACATGGTGAATTATGACATCAGCAATCTCTTATTGTTCGTTTTTCTGAAGAGTCCTGATCTAAGAGCTGTAGAAACCAGCAGCCAACCAAGAAAATGCTCGTTTTTCCGTGTTTTATTCATGATCCCTGTTTGTCTTTCACGCAGCATTAATTAAATTAATTAAATTAATTAATTGATGTGAGGTAATTCAGTTTCTAGTCTAATATCTATTTCCTTACTTTAGTTGTTTTTTCAGTTCCTGTTTTAGAAGATGGAAGAAATGGTTCAAATTTCTGTGAAATGATTTGTTTCCTCCCTGAAAAACTCTGTTAGTGAATCATGTAACGAGCTCCTTTTTCGTTAGAAAACAGAAAATAAACAGTCTTCCTGATAAAACCTTAAAGGACTTTTTCAGCCCAGCCTGCAAAGCGACCTTTGACCTTTTGTCCTTCAGAGCTGCAGACAGAGCATCAGATTAATGTCTGCATCCTTCGGGTTTTGCAGGTGACCGTGTTGTTTGCAGGGCAACACATTTCCAAGAGTCCCTTTGAGGTGGAGATTGGCATGGCTCAAGGAGACTCCAGCAAGGCCACGGCTCAGGGACCAGGTCTGGAGCCTTCTGGGAACATCGCCAACAAAACCACCTACTTTGACGTGTACACGGCAGGTAACGAGCTCGGTTCTCCGCCTCTAACCAGGTGAACGAAGAAGCTTCAGGTGTTTAAATGGGGAAGGTGTTGATCTTTCAGGCGCCGGTGTTGGGGAGGTGGAGGTGGTGATCACCGACCCTGCTGGGAAGAAGAACACGGTGACCTGCAGCATCGAGGATAAAGGGAACTCCAGCTACCGCTGCACCTACAAACCCACCCAGGAGGGTCAGCACACCATCGTCATCACCTTCGCCGGCGGTCAGATCAGCAAGAGCCCCTTCACCGTCGACGTGGGAGAAGGTAGGGCGCTCCGGGTATCGCTCCAACACTTTAGTGCTTTTATCCAAGATTTTCCTCTTGTGTCTTTTTGTCTTCTGGATTCTTCTGTTTTCTCCGTTTGATCGCAGCCTGCTGGTACCGGCCCGCCGTCGGGAACCGCCTCTTCCTTCTGCTGTCATTTCCTGTTTCCAAGCGCCCCTCTTGGGTATTTGTGTGTGTGTGTGTGTGTGTGTCACTGGTGTTTTGTGCAATTGGTCATGCTGCACACTAAATAAAAGTAAAATGTTTTAATAATTGCTTTTAAATGAAAAAGTCACAAACTGGAAAATGAATCTTTTTAAATTCAAACATAAACTTTTATTTCAGAACTTCCATGAAAACTTTGTAGGAAAAGAACAAACAGGAATTTTTCATAGATGTTATTTTTCCTGTTGACCAGAATTTCTTTTAAAAGCTCTTTAACTTGTTATATTTAATTTCATTAACTCTTAAAGCCCAAAAACTCAAACCAGAGTTTAAAAAGCTTTCTGGGGTCCGAATGCAGAACCTCCATGAATGATCCCTAATCTCCGTTTGTCTCCTGCTGGGATTTCAGACCAGTTATTTAAATAAATTTGGATTTAACTGGGAAAAAACTCCCGTTTTGTTCCAGCTGCTTCCTGCAGCCGTCCAGTTGTGACTCAGCCGTTTTATTGGTTTATCAGACGATGATGAGCGGGATTCTCCACTTCCTGTTTGGAGAACATTGCTCACTTCCTTCGGTCTGTAAATTCATTCTGTGAGATAAGATAAATGCGCCGGAAGGTTTGAGGAAAGAACGAATTAGAGTGTTTTCAGCTCTTCTTCTGCACCACTGCAGCTTTCATGTGACGGGCACAAAACTCAACGTTGATTCTTCCTCCTCGTCCACAGCGTGTAATCCCAACCTCTGCAGAGCCAAGGGTCGCGGTCTGCAGCCCAAGGGCCTGAGGGTGAAGGAGACGGCCGACTTTAAGGTCTACACGAAGGGAGCCGGCACCGGAGAGCTCAAAGTGTCCATCAAAGGCCCCAGTGAGTCCAAACGGCACCGAGGTCCTGGACAACATCAGATTATTATTCTGATGTCACACCTTCTCAAAAAGGGACTCCGTTTAATAGACTAGTTAGTTCCCATGCAAACAGGAAGTTAGACGACCCACTTCCTGTTAGAGTCCAGTATGATCAGGGTTGATTTCTCTGCTGTGGTTGTTGCCTCGTGTGAAAACCTCTCGATGACGAGCGCAGCCGAACGGTTTTTAACGAGATTCAGACGTTCCTGCTGAAGTGAAGGCAGACATCTGGAATCTGAAGTTCTCTTCTGTGTTCAGAGGGAATCGAGGAGCCCTGCAAACAGAAAGATCTTGGAGATGGAGAGTACGAATTTGAGTATTACCCCACCTCACCTGGCACCTACAGCATCACCATCACCTGGGGAGGTCAGCACATCCCTCGCAGGTACGCACACACAAACGCTCCAGACCTGAAATACAGGACTTTAACGCCGGCGTTCCAGATAAGTGACCAAACCTGCTTGATTCAGTCCCATCGAGGTGAAGATCGGTGCCGAGGCCAGCCAGCAGAAGGTGAGGGCCTGGGGTCCGGGCCTGGAGGGCGGCGTTGTCGGTAAATCTGCCGACTTTGTGGTGGAGGCAGTCGGAGACAACGTTGGCACACTGGGTGAGTCTGGCGGAGCAGACAAGAGTCCAGCCAGCCTTCGGGGATTTATTTACTCCTGCATGTGCTGCTCATTCAGGTTTCTCTGTGGAAGGACCGTCTCAGGCCAAGATCGAATGTGATGACAAAGGTGACGGGTCATGTGACGTGCGCTACTGGCCCACAGAGGCTGGGGAGTACGCTGTCCACATCCTCTGCAACAGCGAGGACATCCAGCACTCGCCCTTCATGGCTGAGATCGTCAACGCTCCGGGGAAAGATTTCTACCCCGACAAAGTACGCACACACCCAGAGACCAGTGGCATTTTCAGAGGGGGGCACGGGGGGACACGTCACCCCCCAACAAAAAGGTGGTCACCCCGGTGCCACCCCCTAAACGGAGACAGTAAAACATATAAACAATAAAAACACAACATCTGAAACATATCAAATGTAAGATGACTAATTCACAGTGAAACTCAAATATCTGATTGTAAGTGAATGCTGCACTGCTGCAATCAGCAGTATCCAACCAGGAAGGAGTGGTAGACGGCAGAAGTCTGTTTAAATATCCCGGTCAGTAAAACTAAGCTTAAGTAAACTTTGCTGAATGTTGGCAGTACCGGGTGCAGTGGACAGACGAGGTCTGGTTGCTGCAGGTGAACTTGTGTCCGTGTCGGTGCCAGCCCGACCCCATCTCTTAAACTGGCCGGTTGCTTACGTTTAACCCGGCTGCAGCGTCGTCAACAATCTGGGGAAAATACGAGGAACAAGTCAAAAACTCAGAATCCCCGAACCTCCTCAGCTCTTCTCTGCATGGAGCGTTCCTTTCCACCGGCAGCTGAGTGTGACGTTTTGGATTCGCCCTGCAAGCGAGGGCACGCCTTCATTACGTTTCGGGCCTATTTTTGACTCCCTACACTTCCAAAACGCGTCAAAGGCCGAATCCCAAAACTCACACTTCCACCCTCGAGCCCTTTAATAGCGCGATCCCGACCAGAGGAGCGAGCGCTTAGTTTCCTGATTCTCAAGTGCGGAAGTTGACCACGCCTCTTTTGCGCCCTTGAACCGCACTTCACCCAAGTCTGCATCGATGTGGACTGAGGTGAAGGGTATTACCCACAATCCATTGCTGCGGGAGAAAAGGATCAAGTTCCTGTTGAGAAAGTATGTATTTTCTGATGAAATTAGTTCGTTTTAGGACGATTCGTCGATGCTCTGGATGTTTTAGACAAAGCAGCAACGAATTTAAATTTATTTCAAATAACTGTTTGGTTGTTTTGCGAGATTTTCCCAGAACCAGGCTTTTCCTGGTGTAACCGCTCCTAAATCGGTTCTACGAACATGGCTTTCCTGAAGCCCCTCCCCGTCACCATGGTAACACACGCTGGAGAACAAACCTGCTAGCTGCTAGGCTAAGTGACGCTTTGTGACGTGACCTTTTTCTTGTGGGTGGCTGGCAGCTAGGAGGTGGTGAATCAGCGCCCCCGCTGGCCCACAGCGGTAGCAGCAGCTTTGTTCTTAACGGCTAAATAATTAATAAATGTGGAGTTTAAACTTTTAAACATGAGCTGTGACTGGATTTACATCTTTGTTGTGTTTAATCTTCATTTGCAGCCCGGAGCGTCTGACTCCACTGATGTCAGCATTATTAATAAGTATAATTATACCAGCTTTAGTCTGGGACGGCCCGTATCATCAACACGCTGCCTCTTCATGTTAAACAGCCTTACACTAGCTTACAGCTGCTACCGTAATACACGTAAGAGGAGATACTTTATTAGTGTGACTACACATTTACTCTGGTCACACGAGTCAAACACGCTAACATCTGATTTAAATGACACTCGTGATGTTTGTTCCTCGGCGAGTAATGAGAGCTAAACGGTTTACAGTGTTAACTTTAGGTCATGTGACCTTGGTGTCATGTGACCACGAACGTATAGAAGAAGAAAGTATCATTTCTATAGCGCCTCTCAAGATAAAAATCACGAGGCGCTTCACAAAAACAAAAACAAAAAATGTAAAAATATTAAAAATTATTTAGAAAATGATTAAAAATATATTTAAAATGAGCAAAAATGGACAATTGTGATTAAAAAAACTGTTAAGAAAGGGAGAGAGTGAACAGGAAGGAGGGAAATCAGTGGAGGACAGATGTTGTCCAGAATGGAGAGGCAGTGCTCGTTAAACTGAGAAGTTAAGGAATCTGGGTCGTTCTCAGAAGAACAGGGTGGATCAAACGCAGCAGAACGTTAGCTAGCTGTGCTCTCATTAAGGAAACGAGAACTAACCATACGGCGAGCAGGAGGTGGGGCAGAAACTGACAAGTAAAAGAAAATGCAATGGTGATCTGAAATATACCGTAAACGTCCTCAGGACAAACACTGTCAGCATTTAGACTCGGGGTAAAAACAAGGTCTAAGAAAACTCACAGCTGCTCAGCAGAGACCAAGTCCTCCAGTCTCTAAACACCCAGACTCTTAATGTCTTAATCGTAATGTTTCTGCGTTTTCAGGTGAAGGCGTTCGGTCCGGGGCTGCAGAGCAGCGGCCTGGCTGTTGGAAAGCCCACGGAGTTCACGGTCGATGCCAAACAAGGAGGGAAAGCTCCGCTGAAGATACTGGCTCAGGTAGTGATCCTCGTTGATCATTAGATTTATTGTATCTGCAGTCCTGCTGGCCTGCAGGATGAGGCTGCTTCTTATTTGTGATCCACCTGAAACAGGAAGTCATGGTGGGTTTTATATGCATCCAAAAACCAATCAGAGGTGTTGTCTGTGCAGGACGGAGAGGGAGCGCCAGTGGATGTCCAGGTGAAGGATAACGGAAACGGCACCTACACCTGTACCTACACTCCCCGTAAACCCGTCAAACACACCGTCATGGTGTCCTGGGGAGGAGTCAACATCCCCGACAGTCCGTTCAGGGTGAGGAAACCCTACCGTGCTTTTGTTTTGGTTCTAAGGGAAAACCTGCTCATCTTGTTGTTTCTGACCCCAGATGAATATCGGCGCAGGCTGCCACCCTAACAAGGTGAAGGTGTCTGGACCAGGAGTAGCAAAGAGCGGCCTGAAGGCCTTCGAGCCGACATACTTCACCGTCGACTGCGCCGAGGCTGGCCAAGGTAGTTCCACATCAGGAAGTTCTTCCTAATGACATGAAAATGGTTTTCTGCGGCTGCAGGAAGCTTTGATGCTGAAAATGTTAAAACCCAACCTTCTCGTGTCTGAAGAAAGGAAGTCACCTATCAGAACAGCAGAAGGTCCGGTTCAGATGAAAGATCCAGAAGCCTTCTGGTAGTCGGACTTACCGATGCTGAATCATCGTCCTACACAGCGTCCCAAATGCTTGCAAGGGTTCACGTTGCTTATTGTGACCCAACAAAGACCTGCTCAGCGGCTCCTTCATGCATCCCAAACCATTTTAGTTGGGCTTCCATGTGAGAAACCCAAGACCACTTTGGGAGAAGTTGGACCAAACTGGGAGTAAAACTTGGGATGAATCCCAAACAAACTGGGACTATCTGCATTGATGTCACACGCACCATGTGACCTGCCCAGGTGTCTGTTTTATCAGGATCCTAAACTTTGAGACAAATCCATAAATCCTCTTGGAATGACATTATTCCCGCTGTTTCCCTGATGAGGCTCCAGGTGAAGAGCTCCTATAATGTTTTTAACGTGTCTCTGCCCCTCAGGTGACATCAGCATAGGGATCAAGTGCGCCCCTGGTGTTGTGGGCCCCGCGGAGGCCGACATCGACTTTGACATCATCAGGAACGATAACGACACGTTCACCGTCAAATACACGCCTCCTGGAGCAGGAAGCTACACCATCATGGTGCTGTTTGCTGACCATGTGAGTGTGAGCCACGACTCGCCAGTAAGAGTGAAAAAGCTTTTTCTTTATGACGGCTCGATGCATGATCTCCTCTTTAGGCCATACCAATGACGCCCATCAGACTCAAAGTGGATCCTTCTCACGACGCCAGCAAAGTGAAAGCGGAAGGTCCAGGACTCAGTCGCAGCGGTACGAACGGACTGTTTACTGAACGGGAACAGAGCTGTGGGTGATGTCAACGTGACTGGTTTGGTTTTCAGGGGTTGAGCTGAACAAACCGACTCACTTCACCGTCGCCACCAAAGGGGCCGGGAAGGCTAACCTGGACTGCAGCTTTAGCGGCCCGACCAAAGCCGAAGCCGTGAAGGACTTTGAAATCATAAACAACCATGACAACACGCATACAGTGAAGTACACACCTGTGCAGCAGGTAGGAGGGAGAAGGCAGCATCAGACGTTTCTACGTTACCTTTGTCTGGCTAAATGTAGACGTAAGGATTCAAACGTCAAACCGGATCACGTCCTCTCTCCATCAGGGACCTCTGGGAGTGGCCGTGACCTACGGTGGGGATCACATTCCCAAGAGTCCTTTCAACGTTGCCGTGGCACCGTCGCTGGACCTCAGCAAGATCAACGTCACAGGACTCGGAGACCGTACGTACCTCACGACCAGGGCCCTCATTCATCCACAGATCTGAGCGTAGGAACGAGTTTACACATCGTATGGTATTCATCATCTAGTACTTGTGTGGGAGTTAAGTGCTCACCCGTAATCAGAAGGTTGCAGGTGTGAGCCCCCTGGTGGTCAGAGAGCCCGGTGGTACCTGTGAACAGCGGACTCCTCTGTCCGTGCACCCCAGGGCAGCTGGGGCTACACTGTAGCTCATCACCACCAGGGTGTGTGTTGTAGAGCGCCTTGGGGGGGTCCCAGGACTCTAGAAGGCGCTACATCAAATCCAGGCCATTTACCATTCGTTTGATGGAATATAAGCCAGTTTCTACCCTGACTGATGGATGAGGGCCCTGGCCCTGGAGCTGTTTTGGTTTCAGTTAACATTTTAGAACATCTGAGGTGTAAATATTAATGTTGCGCTGTTTCTGCTCTCTGCAGAGATGACTGTAGGCAAAGACCAGGAAGTGACGGTCAAATCGAAAGGCGCTGGTGGTCAGGGCAAAGTTGCTGCTAAAGTAACCGGACCATCGGGAAAGCCAGTAGCCAGCAAGGTGAACAATCTTTTTGGGAATCTGTTTAATCTCTGATCCTGTGTTGGATATTTTAGGCTGAAATCTTGTTTTCTGTGATTTCTGTTCCAGGTTGAGCCAGGGCTCAGCCCGGAGACCAGCCAGGTAAAGTTCATCCCACGTGAGGCCGGCCCGTACCAGGTAGAGCTGACCTACGACGGTGTGCCGATTCCCGGATCTCCCTTCACCCCTAAAGCTTATCCATCGACAGACCCCTCTAAGGTTGGTGGTGAATCCCACACACGCCTTCTCTGTAATCCTCTTCTGACCCGGTCTGCTCCCACCTCCTCTCAGGTGCGCTGCTCTGGACCAGGTTTGGAACGTGCCAAGGTTGGAGAGACGGGGGAGTTTGTGGTGGACTGTACCAACGCTGGTCCTGCTGAGCTGACCATCGAGATCATCTCTGACAGCGGCACAGAGGCTGAGGTTCACATCCAGGACAACGGAGACGGGACGTACACCATCACCTACATCCCCCTCTACCCCGGCTCGTACACCCTCACCATCCGCTACGGTGGCCAGGATGTGCCAAACTTCCCTGCCCGGCTCACTGTGGAGCCTGCGGTTGATGCCAGCGGTGTCCGTGTGTTTGGTCCAGGAGTGGAAGGCAAAGGTAGCGTGAACGTGTTCCAACATTCTGGCTACAGACGTCATTCGTGAGACAGAAGTGTGGATGACCCTCTGAATGTTTGTGGGAGCACTTCCTGATTCAGTCGGTCTTTAGGAGAATTTAAACGGCTTTTGTGTCGGTCGTCTCCAGCTGGGAAACTCCTACATGTTCCTGTAAACGGGCCTTCCTGGGGAATTCAAACAGACTCCAGGAAGGAGGTCTGGTCCCGTGAAGTTGGTCTGACGCCTGAGCTTTGCGGGTCATGATGACTGTTTTAACATTCCTCGTGTCCCTGACCAGATGATCAGATTAGGATTAAACGCGCTGTGGATGTTTTGTGTTTTCAGGAGTCTTCCGTGACTCCACCACAGACTTCACCGTGGATGCTCGTGCGCTCACGCAGATGGGAGGAGACCACATCAAAACGCTGATCGGCAACCCGTCTGGCAGTCGCACGGACGCCCTGATCACGGACCTGGGAGATGGCACGTACAACGTGGAGTACACTCCCTATGAGGAGGGTGAGTTCTGCCGTAGCGATGCCGCTGGCTTCCCCGTGTGCTCGTGACTCTAATGGAGGGACTTGTTCAGGCCCACACAGCGTGGAGGTGTGTTACGACGGCTCCCCAGTGCCGAAGAGTCCGTTCCGCGTGGCCGTAACTGAAGGCTGCGATCCAGCTCGTGTTCGCGTGCACGGTCCCGGACTGAAAGGAGGCATTACCAACAAGCCCAACAAGTTCATGGTGGAAACCCGGTAAAACTAAAGAATTTAAAGCTTGCCCCAGGCTCTTCCTGCTCTTCTTTAAAGTTCATGTTCTGCCCACAGAGGAGCCGGAACTGGTGGTCTGGGTCTGGCCATGGAGGGTCCGTCTGAGGCCAAAATGTCCTGCACCGATAACAAAGACGGCAGCTGCAGCGTGGAGTACATCCCATACGAGGCCGGCACGTACAATCTCAACATCACCTATGGAGGACAACCCATCTCAGGTGATCTGGTTGGACCTGGTCTGCTGCAGCGCCTCAGGACCTTGTTCTGACTTCTGTCATGTACCTGAGCAGGAAGTCCCTTCTCGGTGCCAGTCAGCGACACAGTGGACAGTACCAAGGTGAAGTGCCAGGGTTCCGGCCTGGGCAACAACGTCCGAGCCAACATCCCACAGGCGTTCACGGTGGACGCTTCCACAGCTGGTGTGGCGCCGCTGCAGGTTCGCGTGCAAGGACCCAAAGGTAATGTTTCCTTCACCAGTTCTGGGTGTGCAGGATCACGGATCTGGTGTTGGAATCTGATCTTCTCGTGTCTGCTCCTGCAGGTGTGGTGGAGCATGTGGAGGTGGTGGACAACGGAGACCAGACTCACATGGTTAACTACGTTCCCACCAGAGAGGGACCGTATTCCATCAACGTCCTGTATGCTGACGAGGAGATCCCACGCAGGTCCGCAAGCGCTCATGTCCGGCTTCACCTCAGCGTTTCAGGGTTTAGCATAGCATCTTAGCATCTTTTGGGTGAAATTGAACTAACCAGTAAAATTACCTAAGTGGGTTTATTTCCTGCCTCCTTCTAATAAACGTGAAAAGCTAAATGTTTCAGCACGTTTGCACCTTTTGGGATGAAGGTGTGGTTTACTTCCTGTTTTTCTCATCAGCCCCTACAAAGTAAAAGTCCTCCCCACTCACGACGCCAGCAAAGTGCGTGCAAGCGGACCCGGCCTCAACACCACGGGCGTGCCGGCCTCTCTGCCCGTCGAGTTCACCATCGACGCCAAAGATGCTGGCGAGGGGCTTCTGGCCGTGCAGATCACGGTGAGTTTTCTGGTTTTCTCGTAAACTTAGAAATCCGGTCAGATCTGGAACTTTCCTCGTGTTCCTGCAGGACCCAGAGGGCAAGCCTAAGAAGGCCAACATCCGGGACAACAACGACGGGACTTATCTGGTGTCGTATGTGCCGGACATGACGGGCAGATACACCATCCTCATCAAATACGGCGGCGATGAGATTCCCTACTCACCGTACCGTATCCGGGCTCTGCCCACTGGAGACGCCAGCAAGTGCACCGTCACAGGTCAGAACCGGCTAACGGATTCAGCTTGAAGTTACTCTCCAGGTGTTTGATGTCAATGATTACTTTGCTATATTATCAGTTTTCTAGATTTAATTATGATTTCAGTCGGATTAGTCGGGTGTTATTTCCATGAAAGGTCAAATTACAGTTTCCTGCTGAATTTTCAAGCAAATCCTTTATTTTGTCAGACCACTTGGCAGATTTTAGTTGAATGCTTTTATTCTGAAGGTACCAACAGCAGTAAAGTGATGATGGAGGTTAAATGATGAGTTTTGGTCGAGAGTGGAGTATGATGCTGCATCAGATTGTCCTCACGCTGTGCTCCTCAGTTACACCCCTGCTGTACACACACACACACACACACACACACACACCCCTCCCTGCTTCACACCCCTCTTCCACCACCAGCAGCAGCAGCGTTTTGGAGCACAGCTACACCACCCGGCACCCCACACCTCCACCTGACTGTCTTTTATTTGTCACTTTTGTGTTGTTTTGTTTTCTCGCTCCTCCTGCTTCTCACCGTGTATCAGTCTCAATCGGAGGTCACGGTTTAGGTAAGGAAACGTCCGTCCGGTAGAGGAGTCTACCTGTTTTTGTTTTCTCCTCCTTCTCTCTGGTCGCATGGAGGATGGTGGTACCAGATCTCACCAGGATGTCCCGTTCTGTCTCCTGTTTTTGTTGTCCTCCTCAGTCTTGTTTAACCGTTCCTCCTGTTTCCCTGTCATGTTTTACTGGACGGACTAACGGACTAACGGAGTCGGCATGGTGGAATGGCTCTCTGGCTAATCTAGCTGTCCGTTGTAGAGAGAAGCTGTTTGGTTGTAACGTTTAACTGTTTGGTAACAACCTACCAACGTGTCATAACGGACTTATCCAGCTCAAGCCTGATGGTTGTGGAATGTGCATGCTGTTTGTTATGAGAGGTTGTATGGAGGTAGCTATGGAGGACTGAAAGTGCCAAAATCAAAACTTAAAGCAAAAATGGCTCCAAAATGTGTTTAAATCAAATGTCTTTGTTTTTAATGAAAGTAGTTAATTTGCTCATTTTAATTTTTTAGTATTTTTGTTTTCCTGCTTTTTTTCTTTACTGTTTGCATTTCTGCCTCATTTAATGAACGTGTGAATCTGACTTTACGAATGAACATCTATAAGTCTGAGTCATTCATGTATTCACGGAGCTAGGACGGGGACGATAACACGTGTAACTCGGGTTAGGGTTAGTTATGCATATCTTTCAGTAGATGATACGAAACTTATTTTTGTAACTTGCAACTCAAACGCCCACCTCCGTCTCTGTGTACGAAACATTTAACCCCACTTCTAGCTTCCTTCCCAAAGAACCAATGACGGGCTTTGTTTTATCAGCCAATCGTGTGTCTCGGACATGAAATCCTGCTGTAATTCTAAATGTTCTTTCTTTACATCAGTTTAATTTCTCCGTCTCCGCCACCTGCCGGTACAGAGGCAGAATGAAAGCAGATCCCTCAGCCCTCTTGCCATGAATGACAGGAATCCAAGACTCGTGATTGGCTGGTCAGACAAAGCCTGTCATTGGTTGTTTGGGAGGGCAGCTAGAATAGGGTTAAGTGTTTTGTACCAGTAGAGTGAGTTGTACTGATTTATTTATTTTTTCTACTAAATGAAAGTTTGACGTTACAAAACTGGGTACGAGGTGCATTAATTGTCCCGATCCTGCACCACAGCGGGGTCTTTCTTCACAGCAGAGTTGTAAAAAAGACATTTTAAAATGTAAAACAAGAACAAAGTTAAAGTCCCGAAGTCGCCACACACTGGTGAAATTCATCCCCACGATACAGGAAGTGTTTTTAAACTGAAGGAAATGAATAGATGTCATTTAATTTACATATGTAAGACCATTGGGCTGTTTTTCTATTTTCTTTTAATTTATTTTTCTTTTGCTTTTTACCCTGATTTACGGCAGCTACAGTCCTCCATCTTTATTTAGATCTGTGGAGAGCACATTAATTAACCACTTCATCAAAAACTTAATTAAAAAGCTAATTTCACCCGAAGGTGCCGGCGTTGGTCCGACTATCCAGATCGGTGAGCAGACGCTCATCACAGTCGACGCCAAGGCCGCCGGCAAAGGGAAGGTCACGTGCAGCGTGTGCACGCCTGAGGGGGTGGAGCTTGATGTGGACGTGGTGGAGAATGAGGATGGCACGTTTGACATCTTCTACACGGCGCCACAGCCTGGCGAATATGTAATATGCGTCCGTTTTGGAGGGGAGCACATTCCCAACAGTCCGTTCCAAGTCACGGTGAGTTACGCTCTTTAATCACGCTGGCTCTGTCGACTCAGGCGCGGCAGAGTCAAACCAACATAGGTGTGGATTTACAGGGTGATGGGACGAGTTTTAGTGATTCAGGAATGAATGAATTTTTAATCTCAAGTTCTTTCTTTTTACGAAGATCCTCTCGGCTCCATCAACAGTTAGCAGCTTTTCAACAGGAATGGAGCAAAGCTCTCCCTTCGTCCATCTTTGATTGTAGTTTTCTCCTTCAACCCCTGATGGTTTCTTTGTACCCCCCCTCCCAGGCTCTGGAGGGACCATCAGACCAGCTCATGCAGCAGAGACAAATGCCCCAGTACTACGCTCAACAGCCCTGGGTACCTAAAGCCTCCAGCTCTCGCTCTCATCCCACCTCTTCTCCTTTTGTCTGAGCTGATTCTCGTCCTCCATGTCCTCGCCGTCCCATGTGGCCTTGCGTCGTCGTTGTCCCTTGCCTCTGTTCACAGGTGTTCCCTCTGTGTAGGAGCTTCCCCACCTGCTAAAGCTGGGAGGCATGGACAGTGCAGCAGAGCTGTCTCGTGTTGTTGTTCTCCCGTTTTTTGGGGAACGTTGAAACTTCCTGCACAGCTCCTCTGTTTACTGCTCCATGTTGGAATCGCTTGGGAAACAAAGCGATTCGTAACTTTTCCAACCCTTCCATGTTTTTCTCTCACAGTTTGAGTCGGTGCCATCGTCTTCATCATGGTCTTCATCATCTGCTTTTGTCATTTCTGCTCTGCTTGTTTGGAAGCTCCTCTGTTGCTCTGTGTTGCCACCAGCTTGTCCGCCACTGGAACGGGATTTATCGTCTTTCATTTTGTGTCCCAGGCGACCGACAGACAGATGGGAATGAACGGTCTGGACGTGACGGGACTGAGACCCTTTGACCTGGTCATCCCGTTCACCATCCAGAAGGGAGAGATCACAGGTAACCTTAACCCAGCCGGTTAGACTCTCCTGATTCCTGAAGGGGAATGATGAATGATGCTTTTGTTTAAAGGTGACGTCCGGATGCCGTCTGGCAACGTGGCCAAACCTGACATCACTGACAACAAGGACGGCACCGTCACGGTGAAATACGCTCCGACGGAGGCCGGTCTGCATGAGATGGACATCAAATACGACGGCATCCACATTCCTGGTTCGGCTGACCTCCCAAACCTCCACAGCAGTAGTTATCGTCTCCCGGGTGCAACGGAAACGTGTGATTTTGTTTTTAAACAGGAAGTCCTCTCCAGTTCTACGTGGACTACATGAACAGTGGAAACGTCAGCGCCTATGGCCCTGGCCTCATCCATGGCACCGTAAACAAGCCTGCTGTCTTCACCGTCGACACTAAAGATGCCGGAGAGGGTACGCCACAGTAACGCAGAAAATGACATCAACACCTGGATTTTTGGAGCCAAAGGTGAAAGTCCTGCAAACTGTTTCCTGTCCATGCGTAGGGGGTCTCTCTCTGGCCATCGAGGGTCCGTCCAAGGCAGACATCAGCTGTGTGGACAACCAGGACGGGACCTGCACGGTGTCCTACCTTCCAGTCCTGCCTGGAGACTACAGCATCCTGGTCCGATATAACGACGAGCACATTCCCGGCAGCCCCTACTCTGCAAGGATCACTGGTAAAACGGCACTTTAACGACGGCGTGCATTTTGGATCGGTTCCATTAATGTCCGCTTCGGTTTATTCAGTTTGGTCACTAGCATGTTTGAGTTCCTCTCCAGTGAGGGCTGAGCCACGTAAACACTTTTTGATTTTGGACACCGGTGTTCCAAAAACCTGAACCGTCTTGGCTCACAGCTCATTCACTCAGTTGGACGAGAATATTCCCTAAATCCTAAAGATCCCAGCTCCGTAACGGTCCTGGCTCTGCCGGAGACTCATCAGACCGCTGTCCTGTCCCTGCTGTCTCCAGGTGATGACTCGATGAGGATGTCCCAACTGAAGGTGGGCTCAGCCGCGGATATCCCTCTGGACATCGGAGAATTTGACCTCAGCCAGCTGACGGCCTCTCTCACCACGCCGTCGGGCCGTGAGGAGCCCTGCCTGCTGAAGATGCTCCGTAACGGACACGTCGGTGAGCGTTCGTCAGATTCAGAAGGGTGGAACGGGAGAAGGGAACGTTGGTGTAACTTTCCCTCCTGCTCCTGCAGGTGTCTCATTTGTGCCTAAGGAGATCGGCGAGCACTTGGTGAACATCAAGAAGAATGGCCGCCACATCCCCAGCAGCCCCATCACGGTGATGATCAGCCAGTCGGAGATTGGTGATGCCAGCCGCGTGCGTGTGAGCGGCCAGGGCCTGAGCGAGGCCAGAACCTTTGAGCCTGCAGAGTTCATAATCGACACTCGAGATGCAGGTACGTGCCCAGGCTGGGGGAGGGGCTTATGTCTGAAGGTTTTCTGTAATAAACCTTTTGTGCCTCCATGCAGGATACGGTGGCCTGAGCCTGTCCATCGAGGGACCCAGTAAAGTGGACATCAACACTGAGGACCAAGAGGACGGCACCTGCAAGGTCACCTACTGCCCCACCGAACCAGGAAATTACATCATCAACATCAAATTTGCAGACCAACATGTTCCAGGTGCGTATCGTAAAACGGTCGGGGGGGACTTGGAGCCGTTTGACTCAAACGTTTGTCTGCAGGGAGCGCTTTCACGGTGAAGGTAACTGGAGAGGGACGGATGAAGGAGAGCATCACCAGGAAGAGGGGAGCAGCTTCCGTCGCCAACGTCGGCAGCAAGTGTGACCTCAGCCTCAAGATCCCAGGTGACCAGAACGGGAAACCCAAATGGATGCCTGAAGTCTCCAGAACCGGACTGTTCTTTTCTTCATGCACCCGTGTCTTTTGGTCTTCCAGAGATCAGCATAGCAGACATGACGGCTCAGGTGACCAGCCCGTCCGGTCAGGTTCACAAAGCTGAGATCCTGGAGGGAGAGAACAACACCTACTGCATCCGTTTTGTCCCCACTGAGATGGGCGTGCACACCGTGTGTGTGAAATACAACGGCGTGCACGTTCCCGGAAGCCCCTTCCAGTTTACCGTGGGGCCGTTGGGTGAAGGCGGCGCCCATAAGGTCCGTGCTGGTGGGCCGGGCCTGGAGAGAGCCGAGGCTGGAGTACCAGGTGGGTGTGATCTGGGTGAACTACTGTTGAGAGCACCATGGTGGGTTCTGGTGGTAACCACGACTCTGTGGGGCGTCCGTAGCGGAGTTCAGCATCTGGACGAGGGAGGCCGGAGCCGGAGGTCTCAGCATCGCCGTGGAGGGGCCGAGCAAGGCCGAGATTGTCTTCGAGGACCGCAAGGACGGATCCAGTGGAGTTTCTTACATCGTTCAGGAGCCTGGTGAGAAGAGCTGGAGATTAGATCTGCTGTTCTGGATGAACACACAGAACAACGTTCTCCTGGATCTCAATCCAACTTTTCTCCTTAGAGGGGTCTACTCCTTTCAGTGGAGTCTAAAATAAACCTTTAGATGTTTTCAGGTGCATCCTGAAAATAAACCGGCTCCACCTGAAACGGGAAGCTTCAGCCGCTCATTTTCTAGATTCAGCCAAAGAAATGAGAACATTGTTTTAGTCTAAAGATCCTTTTAAAACCACTTCCAAGTCTTCTGTTCTGTCAACACGGCTCTGGCTCATCCCTTCAGTTATGGAGCATGACTGAACGGTCAGAGTTGAGCATCCCAGTATTCCTGAGTGACCGTCTCCTCGTTTCCCGTAGGTGACTACGAGGTGTCGATCCGCTTCAACGACGAGCACATCCCCGACAGCCCCTTCATCGTCCCTGTGGCCTCGCCGTCGGACGACGCTCGCCGCCTCACTGTTGCCAGTCTTCAGGTGAGGCTCTGGGACGCACACACACATCCGTGTGCACGCCAGGCCACGACGCGGCGACCGCGGTGCAGCAGCAGCAGCTTGTAGTGGATTCATTGGTTTAACTTTAGGTTTTCTAGTCCTCATTAGCTAGAGTCTGTTGAAGAGGAGGTGGAACGGTTAAAAACTACGGACCTGCTGCTGCATCGTTGGGCGGTGCAAGGGCTTCTGGGAAACTCGAGGACTGTGTGTGTTTCTCGTGCCTCATTCTAAAGGCTCCCAACAGCCTGACAGTCCAGAGAGGCGCTAATGGGCTAAAGAGGTTGGAAATGGGCTGCCGTCTACCTCTGATTACTCACTCACCCATCCGCGGGGCAGATTGTACCTGCTGAAAATGAGCTTTTATGAGCCATTAACCACTTCTTTCTTCATCTTCACTCACACTCACACCACGTTTCTGCCATTTCACCGTGCAGCCCCTCCCCCTTTAGCCTTGTTAGCGACCTCCAGGTAAGGCCATCGGCGTAATTGGGGTTCAAAGCCGTTTGAGGTGAATCAGGTGTTTGTTCCTGTGAGTTGGAGTGTTTTTGTCGTCGAGCAGGAGTCTGGTTTGAAAGTGAACCAGCCGGCATCGTTTGCTGTCAGCCTCAATGGCGCCAAAGGTGTGATCGACGCCAAGGTGCACAGTCCGTCTGGAGCTCTGGAGGAGTGCTGCGTTACGGAGATCGACCAGGGTAATCCAGGGAAAACCGAACGACTCAGAAACCTGTGGGGTGTTCCCTGTGTCTGAACTCGCCCAACGTCTGTTTTAGACAAGTACGCAGTCCGGTTCATCCCAAGAGAGAACGGCCTCTATCTGATCGATGTGAAGTTCAACGGGAGCCACATCCCAGGAAGTCCGTTCAAGATCCGTGTTGGAGAGATGGGTCAGGCTGGAGACCCGGGAATGGTGTCCGCCTACGGAGCAGGACTGGAGGGAGGAACTACAGGTACATCACCGTCATGTGTTCCTACAAACTGTGGAGTTGGCTCTCAGGTCTGAATAAAGGAGGACTCGTCCTCGTTAAAACAACCTGGGAAGCTAAATTTGTGTCTGGCAAACGTTTAAAACGTAAGTTTCTAGATGAATCCTAAAAAAAATTAAATTTAGGTTTTTAAATTTCTTGCAGGAACAGCGTGTGAGTTTGTTGTTAACACGAGCAGCGCCGGCCCTGGGGCCTTGGCGGTGACCATCGATGGGCCCTCCAAGGTGAAGATGGACTGTGTGGAGTGTCCTGAGGGGTACAGGGTCACGTACACCCCCATGGCCCCTGGGAACTATCTCATCTCCATCAAATACGGCGGTCCTTACCACATTGTCGGAAGCCCATTCAAAGCCAAGATCACAGGTCAGAACTCTGTCCTGGTATGTTCTTTAGAAATGTCTTGGCATGAAAACGCAGGAAGTGGCCCCGTAAGCGCAGGAAGTGGCCCCGTAAGCGCAGGAAGTGGCCCCGTAAGCGCAGGAAGTGACCCCGTAAGCGCAGGAAGTGGCCCCGTAAGCGCAGGAAGTGGCCCCGTAAGCGCAGGAAGTGGCCCCGTAAGAAGTGACCCCGTAAGTGCAGGAAGTGACCTGTAAATGCAGTAAGTGGCCCCGTAGGAAGTGACCCGTAAACGCAGGAAGTGACCCTGTAGGAAGTGACCCGTAAACGTAGGAAGTGACCCGTAAATGTAGGAAGTGACCCGTAAACGCAGGAAGTGACCCCGTAGGAAGTGACCCGTAAATGTAGGAAGTGACCCGTAAATGCAGGAAGTGACCCTATAAAACGGAACAAAAAACTGTATAAAAATTTCGGTCTGATCTGCGTAGGAAACTGTATCGAGCTTCAACTTCCACGTTCTCAATCCTCCAGGTTCCAAGCTGGTGTCCAGTCACAGTATGCATGAAACCTCCTCCGTCATGGTTGACCCTGTGACCCGAGCCATCAGCTGCTCCCAGCAGGCCACTCCGGCACACTCCGACGCCAGCAAGGTGACGGCTAAAGGTCCGGGCCTGACCAAGGCCTTTGTTGGTCAGAAGAACAACTTCTGCGTCGACTGCAGCAAAGCGGGTGAGTGTTTAACCCGATGGGACCAGTGAGGAGGAAGGTACAGGTGGATCTCAGTCTACCCTGAGGAGGACACGCCTCCTTATCAGACTGTATTCATTATGTTTTCTTAATTTTACTGTTTTTATTCACCAGATCATAAAAATACAAGATTTTTGTCAATAAAAAGCTTCAACCTTTCACAATAAGAGTCTAACAGAGGCAGCCTTTCACAATAAGCGTCTCCAATGCTAACTATTGCATCTTCCTTAACTTCTGAAGTGTCTAACGATCATCCACTTACATTTAAATGTTTAAAGTCTCAGACTGAACCACCAGAAACCCTCTGACCACCTCCCGTCTCGTGCTGCAGGTCGGAACATGCTCCTCGTCGGAGTCGATGGTCCGAAGGTCCCCTGTGAGGAGATCTTGGTGAAACATCTGGGGAACCGTGTGTACAACGTCAGCTACCAGCTGAAGGAGAAGGGGGAGTATATCCTGGTGGTGAAATGGGGGGACAAGCACATCCCCGGCAGCCCCTACCACATAACCGTCTAAGCCCCCCTGGAGTCCAGACCACTAACCGTACGGCTCCCACTCTTAAATCACATTTCTGTTTAAGCCGGATCTGATTTTAGTCTCCACTCAGATCCAGTCCAAAGAGAACGCAGCGATTATTGGCTTCATGGTTAGAAGATGCACCTTGTTACTGTAAACCAGCTGTTCAGCGGCGGGAAGGTCCAGAAACCGATCTTGTCCCCCAGTTCTAGATGTTTACACTGGAGGAGCTCTGACCTCTGTAGAGAAACGGCTGATGAAAAATCCCAAAACAAAAGCGGGATCCTGCTTGGGTTTCCTGTGCGGGTCAGCTCGTCACATCCAGAGCTCGGTCTTGATTATTATTTCTGTTATCTATAACCAGCCCGGTTCTTTTACCTGCTGCTTGTGTGATCCACTTTGAACCACTGCTGATGTTGGTAGGAGGAAAGACGAGTAGGAGCACCTTCAGCTTCCTGTAGCCGCTGCCGCCGCTGGGAGACGTAGCTTTTCTGCATGTTAGCATTAGGCTCTGACCTCTGCTTGACCTTAAGGTTGATCTTTAATTAAAAAGAAACTGCGTTGTGTGTGTCTGATTTATTAACGTAGCTTAAAAAGGGAAGTTTACAACTTTGTGCTGGAAAGTCGAGTTAAAAGTACGATGACCAAAAACCAGAGAGGCTCTTTCTGCTCGGTGTTTCTCCATCTCGCCCGCCTTCGGTTCCTCTTCACCTTCTGCCGAGGCTGCATTTCCGAACAAAAATCTTGTCAAAAATAAAAACGCTTTTAAAATGATTGTAAGACAGTATTTTGATACGTAATAAAGTATTTTTCTGTCAGTCTAATGGTGGTTTTGTGTTTATTATCAGCTTTAGCAGCTAATCAGCAGGTTGTTTTTCCACCTGCTGCTGAGAGGGATTAAACGGACTTCTTCTTCTGAAGAAGAAGAAGAAGAAAATATCTTTTCTATAGCGCCTAAAGATAAAAAACACGAGGCGCTCTGGAGCGTTGGGCCTTGTTTACACTAAAGCTGGTTCATCGAACAAATCTGAAATAAACCCACAGACTTTGTTAAAACTCACATGCATCCAGTCAGGTTTGGGTTCCTGGTACTGATACAGTAGTGGTTTCCTTCCACCGGGTCACTAAAACCAAAACAATCAGCATTCCCTTCTTTTAACAGCCTTCAGGATTCTCTTCCTCGGAAGAACAGGTGCATGCGTCGTATCAAAGAAATTTGATAGAAAAGTTTCAGTTCTGATCTGGTTCTGTTTGTTTTGACTGCTTATCTACAGGCTTTTATGATCTGTTTTAAACATAGTTTATATGCGAGTAATCATTTGTTTTTAATGACAGAAAAGGAATTTTCCTCCATCAGACACCGGAGTACGGTGAGTCTGGATTCTCAGCATGTTTATTTAGGCTAGTGCTAAATTTCTCTTCTCTGGGAGAAACAAACAAAATTTGCTCCTTGGGTTAGACAGCTGGATAACGAGAAGATTGACAAGTTGTGAGTACAGAACAGTTTTAAAGGGATGCTAGAACTGAAAACCACATTTACTTCATAGTTGTTGGTGTCTAACGTAGCAAAAGCCTGCGCCGTCTCTGAGCGGCTGTCCTATGATGTGTTTACATCGTCATAAGCTTAGCCACACCTCCTCACGTCAGTTAGCTAGCTACTTTGATAGCTCAGCTAGCGCAAGAACGGCAGTGACCTAAAATACATAAATATAATTTTACTTACCGAAACAAATGAAGTGGAGACTTCTTGGACGCTCTATTAGTGCAATTAATGCCACAGCAAGTCATTTTGTCCAACAATTGCACAAAAAATATCCAAAAAGATGCACAAACGCTACAACTAATGGTCTAAGTTCAGAGACGGAAAATCCCGGAGCAGTTTCCAGGCCAGACCGAGGCTCTACTGAGGCCTTTCCCCGGAGCTAGCTCTGCGGTCACGTGGGTCTGATGCTCATTAATATTCAGAATTTTAGGCTTTTAATACACTTAAACAGAAGAGCGACAAAAAAATTCACCCCCCTCAGAGTTGTCATGAGTGTAAACTAGATCATTTAAACCTAAAACATGTTCTGGTACCAGGCTGTAAACATGTTTATTTCTGCTGTGAAATTGGTATTTTTAACATGGGAGTCTTTTTTTTTCAAAACTTTATTGAACAAGGTGAAAGTATACACTCAAATTGCATACAAAATTGAACAAAGAAGATGAAACATATGCCAGGGGGTGTACTACAGAAATGTTACACACATCCAAATAAATTATGGGTGGTGCAAATAGTTATAGTTTTTAAAGCTTTTTTGTTTAGTGATCCACTAATCAATTTTATGTAAGATAGAGTGTCACTATAATAGTGCTTGAAATTAGGTTTTTGGTTACTATATTTGCATTTGTGGAAATAGAATTTTTTAACATGGGAGTCAATGAGGATTTGCTCGCTTCTCACACCAGCCCCTAGTGGATGAGGGTGGAACTGTAATTTTTGCTGCATATCCCGACGGCGCTAGAGCTAACCTGAGCTGCAGCTAACGCTAGCTCAAGCTGCTGCTAATGAACTTGCTGGACGAGAGCAAAACAACACACTAACACTCTGGGCATCTCCAGACTGACTGAATGCCTGATAGATCCATAAATTGTGGTCTTTGTCCTCACTGATCCACTTGTGCACACTCCTGGACCACACAGCACTGCAGACCTGCTGGACTCTGGCTAGTCTCCAACATGGACATGACTGAAAATAAAACTGGTTCAATAAAACGTTGAGGTTGGGGGTGTTCCTTCACTCGTCCCACTTTGCTGGATGTTCTAGATCTAGATTGTATGGAGTGGGTAAAGCTGGGAAGAAATGTTTTTTTGTTTTTTTCAAAGGTCCAATTTGTTCCTTTCCTTATGAGTCAGGCAACAAGATGACCTGGGAGCCAGCCCTCGAGTGAGTCTCACAGTTCACACTTGTTCTTGTTTGAATGAAATCCAAATTTGATTCCAACGTTCCCCCTCTGCCTCAGTCCTTCCTTCAAGATGACCTACACCATCTCCAGTGAAGTCTTTTCTACAAGTCAGAGAGCCGATCAGACCGGCGTCCAGAGGAAACCAGTGGAAGAGGCTGGTTCTGGTTCTGCTGCTGATGGCTGCCATGGCAGCTGGCTTCCACTTCCTCTACCTCTGTGATGTAGGGGTGAGCGAGCCTAATCTCTCCTGAAATGTAGTTTTACTACAAAATACACAACTTTTTATGCGTTTGTGTTATTTTCTTCAGACCAGACAACAGCAGAACAAATCAGAATGACCAAACCCCTGCTGGGTCAGTTATTTAATCTTTAATGTGATTCATGAGGAACGTCCTGATACATGGGTGATGATGGGTTATGATCCTGACATCTGTAGGCCTCAGTTCTTCTCAGATTGTACTCAACATCATCTTAGAACCCACTGGTTGGTTCTGTTTGATGCTCCAGAGACGTTCAGCTCAGAGACCGAGGATGCTGATGATTCGTCACCCAGTGCTGTGATGAAGATGATGATGAGAACAGTGAAGAAGGCAGTCATCTTGTCCAGCTTGGTGTGTTTTCATTTGCTGCTCACTGTTGCACGGAGACAGGAGCTGAGAGTGCAAAGCTCTTTCACCACTTTGGACACATTCAGCTGTTCAGGTGACAGACAGGCTCTCTGTTGCCACCTAGTGGCCATTTGGACTAACACGGTAAATGAGAGAAACAAACTCTAAATGAGAACTTTAATGTGTGCTTTGCCCAAATACGTGTTCAGTGGCTGTTTAAAGCCCACTTTACCTGAAAGGTGTCTGGTCAGGTGAAAGCAGGCGGTGCTTTTCCTGCTGTTTCAACCTTTGTGCTTTTATTTTGGTAAATTTGGTTTCTCACATTTGAATTTCCAGCCAAAGCAGTGAGCCATGTTTAAAAACATTCTTTATAAAAATGACAAATGTTGTATTTACGTCATTATGGGATGTAATCAGGACCATTTTGAAGTTGGTATTCATAAAGAAGCCCTCGGCATTATTACCTTCTGTAAAGCACTGGAGCTCATTTAAAAGGTTTAGTCTTGAAGCAGAATAATAAAGTTTATACTTCAGACCCTCAAGTTCATCAGAAGATGTGAAACTCCAACAGGAAGTGAAAAGGCGAGACCTTCACCGGGTTTTGAGACCAGCGTTTCAGTTCAAATGACAAGCCAATCTTCTTTACATGAATAAGTTTTAAAATAAAATCCGGTGCTCGCCTATGAAAACTAGCAGCAGTCCCCCTACGACCTGCAGCACGACCGACACAACCAGGTCTACTGGGGCTGCAGAAACCATACTGGGGCCCAGCCAGCATGCTCTGAGCTGGATCTGGACGTGAGCCCAGACCCACTGAGATCTGGTTTTATTTGTGCTCAGGTGTGGCAGTAATGATGCAACATGTAATGACTTACGTATGATGAACGCATACTTAAGGGATTTGTGCAGTCACGTCTCACACACACACACACACACCCCTAACCAGCATCAGACATGTGGAGGCTAGCCTCCCAGAACTTCAGACATTCCCGCTGGACACTGGGAGCTTTGATTCCCACCTGGAGGTCAAAGGTCACAGTTTCCTCAGACGTGCTCAGCTTTCAGGTCTCAGGAGGAAAATCCTGAGTCGTAGCACCAGCAGGTCCCGGTTTCTGGACCCACAGAACAACCGTAGCCTGTTTGCTGCTCAGCTACTCACCCGCTTAACCATCTCGTTCATCTGTGGAGCTACATGGGACGTTAAAGGTTCTCTAACGCTTGCCTTCATAACATTAATCGGTGGCGATTACCAACCACGGTCAGACTCTAAATGATGGTGGATATACGACTGTCTAACAAGCGTCTGACTCCTCTGGACTAAAACAAATGAAGGATTATTTTAAAAATAAATTCAAATTACAGGGAAATGTGGTTTTTATGGCGGGCGAGTGAACAGCAGCTTACATCAGCCTGGTGCCGTGGATGTGTTGAGTCCAGAGCTACTGAACGCCTCTGGCTGGTGCTCTAAACACGGTCGGACGAGCAGACGTTACTTCTCCTTCCTCTGGTTGTGAAATTTAAACGTATTTTTGCTCCTGATCTGAAAAGAGGAAGTTCACTTCCTGTTCGGTAAAGCCGAGTTGAAGCAGCTGCCCACCGATACACCGGACACCAAAGCAACGTTCCTGCAACAGCGTTGCATTGACAGGCGTGGCTACGTCACCAGGTCCGCCACGGCGAACCCAGACGTTTCAGCAGCAGAGAAGCGTGAACGGGAATAAAGGTCCAGACAAATCTCATCTTCAGTAACTTTATTGTTTCAGCATCACCACCACTGGGTTAAATTATTCTAACACACCAATGTGTGCTCGAGTCTGTCAACATGACTGAAATCACACAAACATCACCTTTAATATTCTTCTCCCTCATCTTCCTCTCCCAAGCTGTCGGTTCCCACCTCCTCATAATCCTTCTCCAGGGCGGCCATGTCCTCCCTGGCCTCGGAGAACTCCCCCTCCTCCATTCCCTCACCCACGTACCAGTGGACAAAGGCTCGCTTGGCGTACATCAGATCGAACTTGTGGTCCAGCCGAGCCCAGGCCTCTGCGATGGCGGTGGTGTTGCTCAGCATGCACACAGCCCTCTGGACCTTGGCCAGGTCTCCACCAGGAACCACGGTGGGCGGCTGGTAATTGATGCCCACCTTGAAGCCAGTGGGACACCAGTCCACAAACTGGATGCTGCGTTTGGTTTTGATGGCGGCGATGGCGGCGTTTACATCTTTGGGCACAACGTCGCCGCGGTACAGCAGGCAGCAGGCCATGTACTTGCCGTGGCGAGGGTCACATTTCACCATTTGGTTGGCTGGCTCGAAGCAGGCGTTGGTGATCTCAGATACGGTCAGCTGCTCGTGGTACGCCTTCTCAGCAGAGATGACCGGGGCATAGGTGGCCAGAGGGAAGTGGATCCGAGGGTACGGCACCAGGTTGGTCTGGAACTCCGTCAGGTCAACATTCAAGGCCCCGTCAAAACGAAGAGACGCAGTGATGGAGGACACAATCTGGCTGATCAGCCTGTTCAGGTTGGTGTAGGTGGGACGCTCAATGTCCAGGTTTCTGCGACAGATGTCGTAGATGGCCTCGTTGTCCACCATGAAGGCGCAGTCGGAATGCTCTAGAGTGGTGTGGGTGGTCAGGATGGCGTTGTAGGGCTCCACCACGGCAGTCGACACCTGAGGGGCTGGATAGATAGAGAACTCCAACTTGGACTTCTTGCCATAGTCCACAGAGAGACGCTCCATCAGCAGGGAGGTGAACCCAGAGCCTGTGCCTCCCCCAAAGCTGTGGAACACCAGGAAGCCCTGAAGGCCAGTGCACTGGTCGGCCTGAGGAGCAATGGGATTCGTTAAAAGAAGATACTCAAGAACTTTGACGGTAATGTTTTAGTTGACCAACCAGCTTTCGGATCCGTTCCAGGACCAGGTCGATGATCTCTTTGCCGATGGTGTAGTGTCCTCGAGCGTAGTTGTTGGCAGCGTCCTCCTTACCGGTGATCAGCTGCTCAGGATGGAACAGCTGGCGGTAGGTTCCAGTACGCACCTCATCTGAACAAAAACAACTCTCTGAAAACTCCTCAAATCATTTTAACTCTAGAGATCAGGAAAATGCAGCTTTGCTTACCGATGACTGTGGGTTCCAGGTCCACAAAGACCGCCCTGGGGACGTGCTTCCCTGCCCCAGTCTCACTGAAGAAGGTGTTGAAGGAATCGTCTCCTCCACCGATGGTTTTGTCACTAGGCATCTGTCCGTCAGGCTGGATCCGTGCTCCAAGCAGTAGAGTTCCCAGCAGGCATTGCCAATCTGGACACCGGCCTGGCCAACGTGCACCGAGATACACTCACGCTGGAAAAAAAGGTTCAGTCGTTACAAACAAGTTCGGATTTCAGAACCAAGGCCTTCCACTTTAAATGGATTTACAAATTAACACATCTGGGTCGTCACTAGCAGACTCCAGATGTTGAACAGCTTCTTCAGAACACAAAACCGAGCGTCATAAGTTTTAATGCAGCTGCGATCCGATGGAGCCGCAGCCCCGCCCCCCGACGGTGGGCGGAGACCATCGACATACATATACCTTTAGCCCAGAGACGCCGAAGCCGCAGGAGCACGAGACCGGAAGTGGCCCAACGTCGAAAGCCAGTCAAGTTTTTAAAAGCAACGACGTCGACAACATCCGGTTATTTTAAGACAATAATGTGTTTAAGTGGACGCCGAGGCATGGTGGGGCTTATTTCATCCACACTTCCTGTTAGGAAAACGCTTCAGACACAAGAGACGGGTCAGCGGACAAACGGCCACACGTCTACGGCACTCGCTCATCTATGCAGGTCATCAGCAAAAAGCTCCTTTACGTCACTTCCTCTTTAAGCAAAAACTTCAAACGTCGAGCGAACGCCTCGTGAGCCGGCATTTAACCGTTAAAGTAGTGAAAATTACGACGGAACCCGATTTTCTGGGTTAAAGTTAGAAGTGTTTACTCACCATGACTCTAGGAGTTTTAAGTGTTCAACGTTTGAAAGAGGAAGAGGAAACTGAAGCAGCTCGCTCCCACGTAAAGACGTTTATCGGTCTTTGGCAAGAGGCAACTGGTGAAGAAACGTTAGGTGGGGCTATTTATACACACCAGACCGCCGGAAGTACGTTTTTCAATCTGATTGGCTAATGTCACAATGTCCTGTTCCTATTGGTCTAAACAAAGCCAGCTAAGCCGTTTCCACTCAGCAGTTTGGTGAGATCTAAAGCTGAGTTTTACATATCAGTTCGTCCAGATTTTGAGAACTTTTCGGAAAATTCACGTTCTTTTAGATCAAATCACGTCATTTCAGGACTTACAGCTCAGACAACCACCACCCAACGTCTGACGTCAAACTCACGTTTCAGTTCTGATCATTAACGCGTTTTCTCCTCTTATTTGGATTTATGAAAACATTTTAATAGTTGAAATGCTAAATGATTAATAAAGTGCTTTTCCTGTTAGACTTCTCAATGCTTGAAAGTCTTTTACAAAAGGAGCATAATTAGGAGGACGTCCATAAAAGACTCGGTGACAAAAACCTTGGCGGACTCTCTCCTGAAATGAGCCCCGACTCCTGTGACACTGGTCATACAGGGACTAACAGCCCGTATCAGAGGGTCTGGTGCCCCTAATTCCTGAAGTCCCCCCCCCCCCCCCCCCCCCCCCCCCCCCCCCCCCCCCCCCCCCCCCCACAGGGCCCCTGAGGGGGGCGCATTAGATGTACATCAAACAAAAACCAAGTTTTGTTTAAATTCACCCTGTGGTTCGTGAATTAAAAGTCTATGAAGAAAACTGGAGGAAAGACTTCCAGTCACTGATGCAGAGCCACACATCAAGTATTCAGAGGGAGAAAAGTCATTTTATCTCTAAGATGCACAGCCTGAGACGTCACACTTGAACCCTTTTCAGACTGGCATTCTGGAATATGTGTGGACAATTCAGTCCGTTTTTAACCAGAACTGTGTTTTCAGACACACCACTTTTGTACCGGAACTTGTCCTTTCGGCCGCCTTCACACAGCAGGGAAACAGTTCCAGATGTCTGGGGGGGGGGGGGGGGGGGGGGGGGGGCGTACGTGCGTCATTTACCCAAACAAAGCCATTCAGTCAAACATGGCAGACGAAGAGATAGAATTCCTCTCACTGATCGGACTTATGTTAAGCATAATTCTGCGCACACGAAGACGCACAAGAGACCAGGATGATGAAGCTCAATGGTTAAAGGAATCACGGAAGCGGAGTGATGCGCTCCGTCGCGCGTCTAGGAGACGGTACCGTAGGAGGCGAGCTGCCATGGTTCGCCGCATTCTACAGGAGCGAGCTATCTAGGTGCGCACAGCCCCCCCCCCCGCCCCTCCTCCCTATCCGGAACTCGACCTCACCAGTCTGAAGCAGCCACCCTGTCCGTAACAAGTCCGGACCTGTTACTAGGGGCTTCGTCCGGATAAATTCCGGAACACGTTATCCGGATGTTTGTATTCAGACACAAAGGTCTTACGGACAGAGTCCGGAACATTTCCGTTTTTCATGGCCTGTCTGAAGGGGGCTGTAATTAAGTAATTTAATTGATGAATACTTGATCTGGTTACTATGGCAATGCAGAGCTGCCACCCATGCAAAATACAATTAGAGCAATATCAGATCATACAAATACATGATAAATATCTACATATTGTACAAACATGAAATTGCATTGTTAGTGCACGATGGTGTAGTGCCAGGACGTGGTAATGAAGTGTACAAAGGTGAAAGCTGCATTGTTGGAACAACAGTTATGATGGCAGCTCTGCTCTTCCGTAGGTAGGAACCTTCAGACTTTAGGAGAATTCAGCTGAGTGGGAAACCATCTTTGGAACGTTCCTCCTGAGTGTTTCATCCAGCTGCATTACGGGTCTTTTAACACAGCTAAAGCATCGTTTTTACCTTGTTTTTGCTGACCTTCCATTATCTCTGTAGCCTTCTTCAGAGCTTTACTGCTGTTGGTGGCGTCACTTCCTTTCCGTTCATGACGCCACCAACAGCTCCAAAGCTCCGAGGACGCTACAGAGATGATGGAAGGTCAGCAAACACAAGGTAAAGAAGACCCATAGTGCAGCGGTGGAACCAGATCACCTGGAACGTGATGGTGGGAACAACGTGCAGGAAAACCGCTCTGGTCTTTAACTCATCTCTCAGCTGCTGTACTGGTTGGACCCAGCTTCTCATCTGGCCCTTCTTAACCCTCTCAGGCTCAAAATAAGCTTTGATAAAAGGACGAATAACAAAGTCCTTCAGGGGTTCTTCTGAGTTAAACAATGCTCATGAAGTACGTGTGTGGAGTAACCAGGTACTAACTAAAACTTTATTGACGTAGCGCCTTCACACGGCCCAAGGACCAAACAAAGCGCTGCACAGCAGAAATAAGCATTAAAAAAATAAAATAAAAACATTTAAAACCAGCAAAAACATGCAGATAAAATCTAGGTGGGGCAGCAAAAAGTGCAGAGCCAACAGTCAACGGGACTCTTCCTGAATAAAGGCTAAAGAGTAAAAGTGAGTTTTCAGCCGGCTCTTAAACGAGTGTGGTGGCGTGTTTAACCCGTGCAGGTAGCTCATCCCAGAGCCTCGTTCCCAGCACCGAGAAAGCACGACCCCCTCGACATTCCAGTCTGTGTTCGGGAACGACTAACGGTCCTTGTTGAGCTGACCGACGGTTCCTTGCGGGAACATGAGGCTGAATCAGGTGGGTAGGTTTTAATTGTTGCCTCCAGAGGGTTTACAGCAACAACTAGATTGGTTAGGAGTCACATGTTTTGAATCAGTATATAAATAATCTAATTGTTTACCTGTGAAGAAGGTCCGACGGTGGTGACTGTCACGTTGGGTGCAGGAGGTTTGGACCCAAGATGCAGAATTCCCAGAACGACTCAAGGCAGGAGTGGTTAAAGACAATAATTCCTTTATTTTTAGGAGGATGCGCCAAAAGTCCAAAGCACCAAAAACCAGACTAAATCTCAAAAACACACTGAACGCTCACAAACAAACAAACAAACAAACAAAAGCTCACTCATGAGCACAGACTCAGAGAAACTCGAGAGGGATCAGGACATCGCTGACACACACAACGGACCAACAAACACTGAGGGACAAGACAGGGTTTTAACACAGAGGGAAGCAATCAGGGGAACAGGTGACAGGTGTGAGGAGTGAGGTCTGGAGGGGAGACAGGCGCCAAGCAGAGGGGGAGATCAACCATAACCTATAAACACTAAATAACTAAACCTAAAGACTAAGGGCAAAGATAAACAACTAATGACCAGAGGGGTGAGGAGGACTAATACAAACAGATAGGAACTACACGGGAGTGGCCAGGAGGAAACATGAGGGAAGCCTAGAGGGGGCTGGAGAACACAAGGGGACACAAGGGGGGAACCTGGAGTGGGGACACGGAACATGACAGTGACCTTCTCTTCCCTCCAGCAGCTAAACCACTCAACCTTGGCAAACATGGTAGGAATTGATCATTTTTTGTGAGATTAATAAAAATGAGCAGGAAAGTGAACTCATCAGATCTTTATTTAATTCTAAATGCTAGAAAATCTATTTGGTCAAAAATCCAGTTCAGTTTATTTCTAAAGCTCCAAATCAGGACCAGAGTTGTCTCAAGGACCTTCACACAGTAAACACTCCAGTCAGTCAACAGTTTCCTGTAAGGAACCCGGCAGGTCGCATCGAGTCCCTGACTAGTGTCAGAGTCTTTACAGCAGTACCAATTAGTACCAAGTAGTACCAATTAGTACCAATTAATGGAAGTCTAAACCACCCCCAGTCCCTAGGTGGCAGCGGCGCTCTCACTAATCAACAAGCTGCTCTTTTAACCTAGCAGAAGACCACACACACACACACACACACACACACACACACACACACACACACACACACACACAAGTACTTTATTATTTCTTAACAAAATAACCTTTATAACCTGTCTTTATCTGAGTGAATCTATGACTATTCCCACAGATAAACTAGTAGTAGCACATTCTTGGTAAAAGAGAGTTCATGTCAGGAGAGAGGACGTTCCGTGGCTTTCTCCTGCAGGGTTAGCAAACACACTGAAGCTTCTTCTGAGAGAACAAAAAGCTACTTTTATTTTGAAAGATTTCTTCTGTTCAGAGTTTAATGTGATGCATCAGGTGAACGTAGTCATGAGTTTCGTTCACAAAAGCCTCTTTCTTTGTATTCTGCAAGTGAAGAGAAGGCAGACATGTGATTTATGGCCCTCAGAGGTCATCGGAAAATGGGCGACACAAGTACCAGCTAAAGTACCCCCCCTCCCCCGACCCAGCATGAGTTTATCTCAGTGCACGTCGGTCAGGATGGTGTCCAGGTAACCCTCTGTCTGGAGCATGGCATTCAACCTGATGGCCATCGCCGCCATCAAAACCAAACGCAGCATCCAGTTTGTGGACTGGTGTCCCACTGGCTTCAAGGTGGGCATCAATTACCAGCCGCCCACCGTGGTTCCTGGTGGAGACCTGGCCAAGGTCCAGAGGGCTGTGTGCATGCTGAGCAACACCACCGCCATCGCAGAGGCCTGGGCTCGGCTGGACCACAAGTTCGATCTGATGTACGCCAAGCGAGCCTTTGTCCACTGGTACGTGGGTGAGGGAATGGAGGAGGGGGAGTTCTCCGAGGCCAGGGAGGACATGGCCGCCCTGGAGAAGGATTATGAGGAGGTGGGAACCGACAGCTTGGGAGAGGAAAAATGTTGATGACATTGTTCTAATGAAGTTTTTTGCATTTATTCTGTTTTAATCTTGTTGTCTGTTCTCGATGAAGCTGAAATGAACATGTTAGCTCCTCATAACTGGAAGCAGGCAGAGCTAAACGACCAGCTCTAAAGGTTTCAGGTTCCAACCTGTAGAGCAGCTGATGGAGGAGTTTCAGACCAGAAGTTTTCTGCACTCTGTTCCCACCAAAACCTTCCAGATGATCTGGTTTGGCCGCTACTGAGCAGATTTAACCTAGGGCTCAAAGGCTCTGGAAGCAGATCAAGTATCAGATCAGGGCTTCTCACCCTGACCTACATCCAACGTGAAGCCTGAGAAGAAATGACTTCTTCCGCTGAGTACTTGATGTGTAAATGACTCGTGTGTCTGGCAGATGCTTTTCCCCCAAAGTTTCTCACAAATGAAAATGTAATGAGGCAGCTAGCCTCAAGGCAAACGACAAACCACGGGAAAGAGCACGGCTCAGAGGGGGTGTAGAAATCAGTTCAAGCACAGGACGTGCAGAAGGGAAGGATGGAAGGTGCCGGTCTGGAGATGCTCTGAAGGGTTGGGTCTTCCAGACCTTTAGATTAGACTGGGGTGCATCTGTTCTGGTGGGGGTTGGTAGGATGGTCCAGGATTCTTGGTTCACCAGCACCGGTGCTTGAAGTGGAAAAACATAAGTGTCGGTACTCCCCTTCCAAAACAATCTGGGGGGTTGAGGCCCTCTCCATTGCAAAATAACTTAATCCTTGGGGATTAGATTAAACGAGCAGCCTCTAGCATTGCCTCTCCTTTAATGCAAAGTCATCTATGAGGTCGTCTGATGCTGTGTTACTTCTGAGCTGAGCTGATGAGAGCCAGGATGCTCAGGTGTTCTAGATGAGCCTCAGGTTGAGAAGCTTCGCTCGGCAGACGCAGCTGGAACTACAAACCCATCAGACTAGCAGATTAGGATTATTCTGGTCTAAATGGGAAATGACGCAACAAAACTAACGTAGATATGATTACAGCTAATGATATGGTTATAATACAAAATGAAATCATCTCTCTCTCTCTTTCTCTCGCTCACTAAATAGACAGAAGCCATTATGTATGTATGAGGATCGCTGTAAAGACTCTGACACTAGTCAGTGACTCGATGCGACTTTAGGGTGACCATATTTCCATTTCCAAAAGAGAGGACAGGAGATCTGTGCCTACCGATGACGTCACACCAGGGCTGGGCGACACGGCCTAAAATCAACATCAGCACATATTGAGGATTTCACCTCGATAACGATAAGTGGACGATAACTACAGGTATGCGCAGTAACACAAGTTGTCCACTAGATGGGGCTGTCACGTGTGTCATGTTGAGTCACATGTTTACGACTCAGTGGTTCAGCTTCTTAAAGGGACATGAACGTTGCCAACATGCACACATCTTTTCATTTTCATTATCACATTTATTGACACGGGAAAAATTATCTCGATAAGAGTCAGAAATCTTGATAACGATCAATTTTCGATTTACTGCCCAGCCCTACGTCACTCTATGGCAACACCACACAAACCACGCTGGGACCATGTTGTCCCCAGGTGAAGAGCTAAATTAATGTCAGATTCTGCCAATAAAAGGGCTCTAAAACTATTCATATGTGAATATTTAGCATATTTATTACAAAATCTCTTTTTCTGCTGCTTTAGTGCTGCAACAAGGTTTGATCAATAATAAATGATTACACCTTTAGTTTTACTACAGCATCGGTACGCTTCCTGTGCATAGATTATTAAGGATGCTTGTTTCAGCCGTGAGATTAGATGATAGGATCAATGATTAATAAAGTTTGTCACAAACTCCATGGAAACTTTCAGAGAATCCACAAATAGGCTTTCAGACGGTTTGGTTACTGACAGATGTTTGAGTTTAGAAATGAAGCGGATGAGACGGCGTGTCTGACAATTCTGTTTTTCGTCCAACAACATTAGAACATGTCAGTGATGTCTGAGGTGTTTTTATAAAAACTGTATAACTAACACTCCTGGACAGGGTAGGAATTACACAGAGGCTTCTGGGGAGCCCAGTTATTGGGGGGGGGGGGGGGGGGGTCTGTTTGCCTTGGCCCCTAGAATGCCTTGAAACGGCCCTGGGTGTGTGACCGGGTGCTGAAGGTGATCTGAATTGTATCAGATGTATAAATATGACATGTGTATAACTTATTGTTTTATACAGGTAAAAACGGGTAGTGGAGATAAATCTACCTACATTTGACTTTGTTTTCCTGTTTTTATTGAACTATTTCCTGTCCTGTCTGTCTCTCGTCTTCCTGCATCTCCTCTAAACTCTCCAGAAAAACTGCTGCTTGGATTCTTACTTTCTCACCTCATCAGTTACTTCTGAGCAGATCAAAGATCTCCTGACCGCAAGGCGGAGAGCGCGTTTCGATGCTGCGTCAGTGAGGTGACATCACCGCAGCACACGATGAGCGGAGTGCGTCAGGAACGAGTAACAGAGTACCTGATGATGTAAACCGATATGAACGATCACGTGTTAATAATGTTTTGTTGATCCACCTTGAGAATGCATCGTGCGCCGGACGCAGCGGGCACACCAACGATCAGCGCTCTGCGTCCTCTCGGCTCAACAGAACCCCGCTGCGCTGAGAGTCCATAAATATTGTAATATAGGCAGAAACTGGATATTTCCCTGAAAGATATCTACCCCCCATAACTCGATCCCTGCTCCTGGACGATAAACCGGACATTATGATCAATGTAGGACCCCCCCCCCCGGACAGAGTGAAAAATGGACATGTCCGGGGGAAGGAGGACGTATGGTCACCCTATGCCTGCTGGGCTCCTTATACAGTAAACTTTTTACTGAGTGGCTTCATGACCTGACCTGTATTGGAATGTTTACTTTGAGCCTTGAGACGACTTGTTGTGACTTGGTGCTACATAAATAAACTGAACTGAATGAATAACAATGAGGGCTGTTGTAAAATTCCATCTCCAGTCCACATCCAGTATTCTCTCTTCTGTCTCATGAACAGCAGCTGGGATGTTATGGTTTTGTATTTTTTTTTGTTCCAACAACAAACTCCTCCTCTGGTCTTGCTCCGTTCTACATTTCAGTTTGGATGCCATTTCTTCCACATCTGACCTGGTTGGCCAGATGATGCGTGCTGTCATCATTGTGAGAACATGCAAGCTGGCAGAAAACTCGCCTCTTATTTTCTCCTCTCCTCCTGCCTGCCTTGCTCGTTTAGAGAGAGAATGCATTTCTGTGGTGGCGCCATAGCACCACTAAAGGAAGTCCACAGGCCCTGCTGCAGGAAAACATTAAATATAAGAGACTAGAAATCATGCACTGAATCTTTTCCCCTATGTCAACCTTGATGCCCAGACCTTTTACCCCACAGACTCATGAATGCTGACCCCCAAACTCTGTGAAGTGCTAGCTTCCTTCTCTTTATGTTCTGTGTTCTCCTCAGAATTCATTGCTCATCTATTTATCGAGCTAGCTACATAGCTATCGAGCTAGCTACATAGCTAGCTCGATAGCTATGCTGCAGTGAGGGTGTAAATCCACCAGGGGGCGCGGACGCCCTGTGACAAGCAGCGAAGAAGAAGAACGCCGTTTGGAAAATGGCGGGCCCTTTGACAGAAGAACAAGTCGCACGTCAACTTTATGATTCGCTGCAGGTAATTTAGTTAAAAGTCGTTTCGCGCTTGTAAACAGGAACATGTTTAGTTGTTGTTAATTTCTTTTGTCGCACCCGGTCCAGTCCTGCGTCTGAACCAAAGTTCTGGGCTCGTGAGTTTATCTGAAACACGAAACATAAACGTTAAATGTTTATTATACATACTTCTGGACACGTTCGTCGTTTTCAAACCTTCATAGTTCATAAATCATCCTGTCTGACCTTTAGAGGACAGAAGCTAGCCAAAGTTCGTCATGTTTACTTTCACACTAAACGTGTTTGTCTAGTTTATTATTTTAATGATCCTATTCTGTTAGTTAATTAAATTTTTATTTCAGTTTTTCCTCCTTGCATCTGTTTAAACACCATTTCCGTGTTGGTGGTGTATTTTGGGCGTTTCTGATGTTTCTGTAAGTCTGCACATGGAGATGTTATCATTTAAACACGTTTATATTGGAGGAGTTTTATCGTGAGTGAATGAATGATGTGAAATGATTGTTGGGTCGGTCCCAGCACTTATAAATGATGACATTCCTGTGGTTTTGCTCTTAGTAAATAAAGTTTTAATCAGAAGAAATTCCTCACATGAACATATTTAAGGTGAATCAGGGGTCTAACTGACCGTTTTGTCCCGGAGGCTGCAGCTTGTCCTTTGGTGCAGGGTTTGTACTTGAAGGAAGACGACAGCATGCTGGAGCTGCTGTGCTCTCCCTCTGAGCTCCGCACCGACATCCTGGCCTGGATCTGCAGCAGGTACCCTCACCTGTCTCTCTCATTCATTACAAACAAATGACTTCATCACTCGTCTCTTCATGCACCGCTTTACAGGATCGATCCAAACGTTGCCAACTCAAAAGCAGCGAGGTCCCATGATCCGCACGCTTTGACCAAAGGTGAGAGAATCACTTTTCCTTTCTTTGAGCTCATGAATGAATCTTTTTTCCTCCTGAGCAGAAATGGCCGCGTTTGGCCACGAGCTGATGCTGATCCAAGCAGACGACCTGGACCTGATCAGGGTGAGGGCTCGCTGAAACCTACCGGAACGTGTTTTCAGTTAAAGATGGCTCTAATGAAAAAGCGGCCTTCTGTGTGGGGGGGTTTCTCTTCAAGGGTAAAGCCAGTCCCCGCCGACAGCTTCGCTTCCTGGAGCAGCTCTTGATTCTCGTCCCTGGCTGTAAAAACTCCGCTGAGCGCCGGACTGACGGAGAGTTGCTGCTAAGTCAGCTGTTTGCTAAAGATAACCTAGCGAACCTCACACAGATGCTCCAACCAACCCTCGACCCCTGGCCTGTGCACATCAAGTACGTATAGATCTAGAGCTTCAAATTTGATTCTCAAGAATTAGAATCGATTGTTTGATTTGATCCGATATATCCGGTCAGCGATCTCGTCTTTTTTAGCTGTTAGCTTAATTGCATGACTATGTAGTGGTGTAGTGTATTACCACCTACCACTCTGCTACAAATGAATGAAATGTTGGCAGTTTAAAATGGCCGCATGGCCCAGTCCTAGTCTCAGAACTGTGCTTTCACAAACATGCTGTCAGGCAGGATTAGCAGCCAGATTCAGGACGGCCACCAGAGGAAGTAAGAAGAGTCAATAACTGCATCCATGTGTGGCCGTGTGAGCGTCCTGTCACTGTGTCTCGATTGATCATGCGCCCTGGCTACTTGGCCAAGGGGATGTCCCTTTGGCTGACTGGTTAGCACGCGTGACTCTCAGCCGGGAGTCTGGGGATCGAATCCCGCCCGGGCCCACTCCTCTCCACCTGCCACACCTGGACTGCTACTGGAACACAAACCTAGGGCGCTAGAACTAGCGCTGCCACAGACGGCTGTTTTAGTAGTCGACTAATCCAGTCACTCATTAAAGTTTAGCTTGTTGCGTCAGGATGCTCTGATATACCCTCATTAGCATCTAGTCTGAAGTGTGATCCGCTCTGAGCCATTTAGTAATAACGACCAGGTGATCGCTTCTCAACAACTTGAGTTAACTTGTGACCTGTTAGTACAAACGCTGCAGGCAGGTCCGGGTCATGCGCTCCAGGACGGCTGGGACAGGTGGGACATACGTGCCACTCTGACTTCCATACTTAACCAACCGCCGTTTTATGGCTATGTCATCATTAGCTGGGTTTTACTCTCCTGTCTACATCCACCTTGTCCCGAACACGGCGGGAAAGCTTCAGAATTGGTGTGTGGAACGTTTCCGCTCCACTAGCCTTGCTTTCTTCACGTGAGACCGACTCTGTTGCTCCGCGTAGCAGCACCACTCTTTCTGACTGGATGAGTGAACATCTTCATCAGAGACAATATTCTTCTTCTGAATCAGTCGTTAGTCACCAGACAGTCAACAACGACCAGACCTGTCAGCATTTGTACGTTTCTCTCTCTAATTTTGGCTGCTATTCGTTTGTTCCTCCTCTCCTCTCCCGTAGCCGGGAGCCTCCCGTAGCTGGGAGCCTCCCGTAGCTGGGAGCCTCCCGTAGCTGGGAGCTTCCCGTAGCTGGGAGCCTCCCGTAGCTGGGAGCCTCCCGCAGCTGGGAGCTTCCCACAGCTGGGAGCCTCCCGCAGCTGGGAGCCTCCTGTAACCGGGAGCCTCCTGTAACCGGGAGCCTCCTGTAGCCGGGAGCCTCCTGTAGCCGGGAGCCTCCTGTAGCCGGGAGCCTCCTGTAGCCGGGAGCCTCCTGTAGCCGGGAGCCTTCTGTAACCGGGAGCCTCCTGTAGCCGGGAGCCTCCTGTAGCCGGGAGCCTCCTGTAGCCGGGAGCCTCCTGTAGCCGGGAGCCTCCTGTAGCCGGGAGCCTTCTGTAACCGGGAGCCTCCTGTAGCCGGGAGCCTCCTGTAACCGGGAGCCTCCTGTAGCCGGGAGCCTCCTGTAGCCGGGAGCCTCCTGTAACCGGGAGCCTCCTGTAGCCGGGAGCCTCCTGTAGCCGGGAGCCTCCTGTAGCCGGGAGCCTTCTGTAACCGGGAGCCTCCTGTAGCCGGGAGCCTCCTGTAACCGGGAGCCTCCTGTAGCCGGGAGCCTTCTGTAACCGGGAGCTTCCCGTAGCTGGGAGCCTCCCGTAGCTGGGAGCCTCCCGCAGCTGGGAGCTTCCCACAGCTGGGAGCCTCCCGCAGCTGGGAGCCTCCTGTAACCGGGAGCCTCCTGTAGCCGGGAGCCTCCTGTAGCCGGGAGCCTCCTGTAGCCGGGAGCCTCCTGTAGCCGGGAGCCTCCTGTAACCGGGAGCCTCCCGTAGCTGGGAGCCTCCCGCAGCTGGGAGCCTCCTGTAACCGGGAGCCTCCTGTAGCCGGGAGCCTCCTGTAGCCGGGAGCCTCCTGTAGCCGGGAGCCTCCTGTAACCGGGAGCCTCCTGTAACCGGGAGCCTCCTGTAGCCGGGAGCCTCCTGTAGCCGGGAGCCTCCTGTAGCCGGGAGCCTCCTGTAGCCGGGAGCCTCCTGTAGCCGGGAGCCTCCTGTAGCCGGGAGCCTCCTGTAGCCGGGAGCCTCCTGTAGCCAGGAGCCTCCTGTAGCTGGGAGGCTGTTTTCAAGCTCTGAAAACTCGAGAGTGTTGCTCAGACTACTGAAGATGGACATCTCCACCATCTTCTGGTGTAAAGTAGTAACTTCAGATTTGTAGCTGTGGCTCCTTAAAGTCGGAGTTAAAGAGCAAGTCACCCCCTACCAGAGTATTACTCAACTCCCACTTCCTGTTTGGAAAATGCAACAAATGCTGTTGCTAGGCAGACCGAGAGGGCGGAGCCTCTAACAAACACACACACACACAGGCTCACAACGACATTGTGACATCATATGGTACCAGCTGACGTTCTAGGGTACCTCTTAGCCAATAGCGATGGCAGATTGAAATTGAAATGCAGTGCAGAGTTTTTACCTGAAGAGGGCGCACCACTGACAGTTTTAGGCGGAAAATAAAAATTGTAACAAAAATGCACTGAAGTGCAAAACTACTGAGGTCCTGGTGCTCGCCTGTGTGGGATGAGGCTACATTAAGTATATTACTGGACTGTGTGCTGTGGGGACTGTGTTATTGCTGGTGTTTGTGCGGTTCAGCGCTTCGGTCGGCTCCAGCGCTGTTTTAAAAGGTGTTTTATAAATAAAGTTGGATGGAGCACCAACGGCTGTCAGCGGGGGGGCTGACGGTCCGATCCGGCCACAGGGTCAGGGTGGAGCGAGGTCTGGACTTGTCTGGAACCCAGCAGGAGGATGTCTGTACTCTGTTGGCAGCAAGCGGAGCCAGACTGTGGAGCGTTGGTGTGTGGGCGGTTCCACCCGAGCCTAACCCTAGTCCATGATCGTCTTTTGTCTCTCAGGGCGTTACGTAAGGGCACGAAGGCGTCCTGCCAACCACCAGCTGAGATTCCCGATGCTGCTGCTCTTCTACAGTCGACTCGGACACAACTGAAGGAGCTGCAGTCGCAGGTCTGCTGTGGAAACATCTGGAACACTTTCATGGGGTGATGTGGTCTTTGACAGGTTTTTCTGCTCGTGAGGATAAAATAAGACGGTTTAAACGGGAGATGTTCGTACGATCCACCCTGCCCAGCAGCAAACGGCAGCCTGCTCCCATCGGAGCGCCGTCATCACCGTTTCCCTCAGTCAACACTGGGAGCCTCAGCAGCCGCGGCGTTGTGGGCGGGGCCTACCGGGCCTGGGCCCACCCTGATGCAGCCGAGAGGCCGATATGCCAGAGTTCCCTTTCAACAGAACATAATTAAAATGTTCTGATCCAGAAGGTGTAGCCCGGCTGGTCCGACTGTTGTTTTCCCATCAGAACATCTGAGCTGGACTCCGAGCCCAGCGCAGCTCGCTGTCGGCGCGTCCGTCAGGTGGACAGCGAGCTGAAGGTGTGGAGAGGGGCTTGGAGCGCGTCGGTCACCAGAACCAGAACCAGAAGGCTCCTCCCACTGAAGCGAGTGTTTCCAAACCCCGTCTCTCAGAGAGACGCGTCTCTTAGAAAGTTCCTGATGATGAAACCGGGGCTGAATAGCGCCGGTTCCTGTCTCCGGTGTGGCGACGCCTCCATGAGCCCGTCCGAGTCCAGAACCTCACATCCTCTTCAGCTCAGAGAGCTCCTGTAGACATCTGATCACACACAAGCAGGTGACCCGTACACCTGGTCTCACGTGTGTGTGTGTGTGTGTGTGTGTGTGTGTGTGGGTAAAGTCCTGACAGCAGAAACATGGCTGACTGCTTAAGGTTGTTTATTTTGTTTATTTTGATTCATTCCATCGTGTTTAAATAAAGTTGGAACCGATGGTGTTCGTCTCCGGACATCACGCTGCTCCAGAAGGTCTGGAGCTCCCAGCGGGAGGCTCTGACCCACGAGCACGCTGCTGACTGGATGCTTTGTTCTGTTCTCAGTGTGATTTCCTGAGCAGCGAGGAGGAAACGGCGTCCGTCTTCTCTCCGAGCTCGCTGCGTTTGGCAGCGTGTGACCTCCAGCAGCTGATGACGACCTTCAGCCATGTTTACGAGATGGATTTCAGAGCCTTCTGCAACAGAACGCCGCCCGGCTTCACCACCGAGGCCAAGGTCTTCCAGAGAGTCCACCAGCAGCTGCAGGCCTGCAACACGGTAAGCCAACGAATCCGACCCGGTAGCTGGTTCCTGAGCCTTCGTGTTGGCACGGCGACGGACTTTTGCATCAGAAGGTTAAAACCAGGGTGGGTTCTGATGAGTCCAGATGTTTAAACATCTGTTTCCTAGTCCCATCACTGAGGAATTTATGCTGTTAGCTGTCAGAAAAGACCAAAACACGGAAACCTCTCCAGCCATTTCCTGGGATTCGACTTGAACGTGATGATGTCAGCGACATCATGGATACAACTTGAGCCCAGGTCTGACCTGAAAAGCATTTAACTGCTTTCTTCTCCTTTGACCCCCCCATCCAGGAGCTGGAAATGCTTCTGGAAGTCTCTGAAGCTTCAGCGGCTGTGAGTGAAGAGGTGAAGCAGCTCCAGACACAACCTCGCTACTGGAGCCGAGGAGAGAAGCGCCCTCTACGTACGTCTACGGTCTCGTAAATGCACACACCTCCACGTTCTTCATCCTGTTTTCCTCCTTCAGCCGATCAGCTGGAGGAAATCACCCAGAGAGTGGGAAACAGCTTCTCCCAGTTTGGTTCCTGGTCCTGAACCTCGTCGCCAAGCGGATCAGACGGACGCAGAACTGAAGCCCGGGACGGACGTCTGCTTTTGCTCGGCTGCCAGATGGCTGTTCTTCTGGATTCCTGAACTTTTATCCAGAACTCGTTTTAGTTCTTGTGTTTGAACCATGTCAGCGTGTCTTTGTGACTCGTCTTGTTGGTGCTAAACTGTTTATACTTGTTTATAGAAGTAAATAAAAACTGTTGGTATAAGATCTAAATAAAACACGGTTCTTTGAAAAAGCCACGTCATCGTTTAGTTTGGTCTGAAATGATCGGGTGGAGCAGCGGTCCCCACCTTGTGGGGAACCGGTCGTGTCTGGCGGGCCAGGCCGACTCCCACCCCCGTCCTGCAGGAGTAACGACACGCTTTACACCGTTTATGGATGTGTTATTACACTGGTGGGTGTTACTAACGTCATTTTTGCTGTAACCTGAGTTTGAGCAGACACCTGTGGAGAGCACAGGTGTCTGCTGAGGTAAAGGGGTGCAAGTGCATGAGTTGCCCCCCCCCCCGTTACCGGTTGACCTACAGAAGCACTCACACGTCACACTGGGTCACAGCAGCCATGTTTAATGAGGCAACAGCCGACATGAACATTATCAGACCGTCTCTACACAAGAAAAGCTGATGCAGCTCCACGGTCAGAAGCCTCTGCTGGCCAGCCACTCCTTCAGCTCCAGGTCATAGTGACCTTTGACCTTTAGCGTCATGGTGACCTCGTTGACCTGCGTGGGCAGCTCTTTCCCCGTCACCTCCTTCAGGTACTCCTTCACGTGCTTCTCCAGAGCCCATATGTCCCCCTCCACCTTCCGCACCAGCGTCATCTTGCGGTTACCGTGAGTCAGGTCCGTGTAAACCGGGATGTTGTGCATGCGGGAGCGGCGGATCATGTACGGTAGATCCGGCGGAGACTCGGCCGGAGGGATCCATCCGGACGGGGCGGCTCCGGCGTGTTTAGGCGGAGCGGGAACTCGAGATGGAGGAATGAGCCGCTCCACGAACGCGTACTCCTCCGTGGACTCCACCACGGCCGGGTGGGACGCCAGCCCGGGCCCGGCGGCGGCGGCATGGCCGCTTTGTGTCCGGCTGTGGAGGACAACAGGTCCGCGTAGAGCCCCGCGGAGCACCGCGGCCCGAACGCCGAAGCAGGGCGACATTTTGAAGATTTGAACCGGAAAAGGTCTTCCTCAGAGTGTATGTAAAACCGGAAAAGGAAGTGTTACGTAAACGTCACTGGTTTTAGATAGATTTGAAAAACACGATTAAAGAGAAAACAAATATTTTGGATCAGATTTTGGCAAAATTAATAAAATTTTAGGAATCATCCTCTATTTTTTTTTATTTTAGGAATTATCCGCCTAGGCTCAAATTCGGGAGTGATGCTGCCACCCTGTGGCATGAATTGGTATCGCACCAGGAGTCACAAGTTGTGTTTATTTTATTTATTTATTTATTTTAGACATCACAACTAACTCTGGTGAGTTTGAGATTGTGGAGCCACATGAGCACATGGTTAACTCCTGATTCGTCACACGAAACCCTTAGTTTGCAGCTAAATGTACAACTAATTCATTTTTGTAATCTGCTCAGTTCCAGATGGCCACCACGGTCAACCAATCACATAAAACACGAAGATAGTTACCTTATGACTTTTATAGGTACTTAGCTAAGTGTTTGTGTGCTAGACTCCAGTAAAAACTAGATTTGTTCTTAGAGCGTTGAGATCAACGGTGGGTCCAGCTGCTGTTCATCCAGACTGTTTAAAGAGCAAGTCAACCCCTACCAGAGTCTAACTCCACTCCCACTTCATGTTTGAAAAATGCAACAAATGCTGTTGCCTGGCAGACCGAGAGGGCGGAGCCGCTAACAAATACACACACAGGCTCACGACAGCATTGTGACATCATAATGTACCAGTTTACATCATAGCATACTTCTTAGCCAATAGCGGTGGCAGATTTAAATTAAAATACAGTGCAGAGTTTTTACCTGACAACGGCACAACACTGACAGTTTTAGGCAGATTATTTAAATTTTAACTAAGATGCACTGAAGTGCCAAATTATTGACGACACGTGTCTGCAGCACGATTAGACACTCGCTTATTTAGTTTATCAGCAAAAAAAAAGTTTATTTGGGGGTGACTTGCTCTTTAACATGGCCGGCGCCAGGATTGGGCCAAGCAGCTCTTGAATGCCCCCTCCAAACCCCCACCCCCCGCACGCGTACTGGTGTTCTGACTATCTGTATTTCCTCGTCGAATATTCCTACCCCAGAGTGTTACGACAGTTTCGCTCTTTACAGCACAGTAACACGCTTATTAAGCACGCTTTGTTTTAGGTGATGTTACTCAAAAATACATAATTATTAGTAAAATATAGTGTTTGTTGTGATTTATTTATGAAAAAGACCGTGTTTGTCATGATTCCATGAATGAAGGTAAACAATGGGAAACATTTTTTTACAGTATAACAACGATATTTTACAAGCTAACTGTCAGGTAAACATACAACAAGCAGTAATATAACAACTTCCAGAGGTAGCGTCTCTTCAGGTAAACGACCGGTGACGTAGTAGTCGGTCTGCGCATTTCCCCAAAGTAGCACATAGACGAGTAGCCCGGACAGTCAGAACACCGCGTGGACCGTAGCGTGACCACTCTGTCTCGCTTTTTTCACAGTCTCCCGTTTCGTGTTTAAATCGTGCGTAAACTGCATGGAGAACGCCTTGGCTGGCTTCCAACCAGGAAGTGGAACTTTAACACAGGTCCACGCATCCTGAACCATCAAAACGGATATATACATATATATATATACATACATATATATATATGTATATATACATATATATATATATATATATATATATATATATATATGTATATATACATATATATGTATATATACATATATATATATATATATATATATATATATATGTATATATACATATATATATATATATATATGTATATATACATATATATATATATATATATATGTATATATACATATATATATATATATATATATATATATATATATATATATATATATATGTATATATACATATATATATATATATATATATATATATATATATATATATATATATATATATATATATATATATATGTATATATATACAATGGTCAGTTTTTAGGTACTGTTTGACCGTTCAACATCTGGTCAAAAAGGAGACACGAGACTGCACGTGTTCCCTTTAAATCAGCCTGCCTTCATCCCACCAGCTGGAGCTCAGAGCCTGCAGCTCTGACAGAGATAACGAAGTCATAACAACATTTGCTCCTCAAGGTCCCTCACAGTATACCCTTCCTGTCTACGTCTCTTTGCTCACAGAAGAAAAGAAGATTTTAAAATTAAAGATGAACTTCCACATCTAAAGTTAAATAATCATTAAATGAACATTTGTTTATTGCTACGTATAATAATTATAAAATAATGATATGTTTCATTAATGAAATATGTTTCAGCATGTTTACTTGACCAGGTCATAACCATATTGCACTCACACAAGAACAAGTTAAGTCTATGACACATAAAGAGCCTTTACCCCAGATCAGAGCCTCCCTCCGGTATTGAAGAAGGCGTTTCTGAGATTCTTGGTAATATCCCTCAAACTTGTCAACCTCTGGTTGGCTACACAATCATAACATGAGTTCCTTAAAACTGGATCACTCTGGTGATTCAGCAGTTCTAGAGAAAGCTTCAGGCCAGCCACCTGCACAATATATATATATATATATATATGTGTGTGTGTGTGTGTGTGTGTGTGTGTGTGTGTGTGTGTGTGTGTGTGTGTGTAGGTCACACCCACAAATATCATAATAATTAGTAATATTTATAATATTTGTGGTCACACCAAAGCAGCTGGAACAAGAATCTGTGTGAAGTTCATCACTTTTATATTCCATAAAATTGTTGAACTTTATAAACAGTCTAAAAGCCGTTTAAAGCTTCTGGTTTGATGACGTTTCTTCTGCTGCTCCTCCCGTCCGGCAGGGGGCGCGCCGAAGCTCGTCAGAAACCATCTAAACCGGAACCGTCCGAGAGTTTCCGGTCTTTGGTTGGAAGGTCTCGTGCTGCAGCGATGATCTTTGTTTATTTGGTTTAGTTCTGTTGAAGCGGGGGTCACAGGGCGTCGGTTTCCGGTGTAACGGCTCTTTCTCTGCTACTCTTCAGCTCCTCCGCCATTAAAATGAAGAGAAGCGGTTCCGAGAAGAGGCGCCATGTGGTGGCCTGGCTCAACAAAGCCGAGTGGGACCAGGTCCTGGAGCATCTCTACTCCAAGGACGTGGCCCTGCAGCGGTTTGCGGTGCAGCGGATCTCAGCCTGGAGGAGCAGGTATGCCCACAGCTCGCCGGTGGCCGTGGACTGCACCGCGGACCTGGTCCGGTGTCAGGTTCTGGACCGGTCCGGACAGCTGACTGGAGACGATCTGGTCCTGGTTTATGGAGCGGCTTTGGTTCGGTTTGTTAATCTGATCACCGAGAGGCAGCAGGGCAGGACAGCCCGCCCTCTGAGGCGGCTGGCTGGGAACCTGAACATCCCGCAGTGGGTGGTGGACCTCAGACACGACTTCACCCACAGGAAGCTGCCCACGCTGAAGTGGTGTCGAAAAGGGTGTAAGGTGGTTCTGGAGTGGCTCCAGCAGGAGTACTGGTCCAGGCAGCTGGGAGGCGTGCCGGATGAGGGCTGGGACTCTCAGTCGGACGGAGAGGATGAAGAAGCTGTCCAGAAACAAAAGGCGGAAGAACGGATCTTCAGACAAAAGGAGATTGAGGCCTACAAGACAGCTCGGGAGCTTCTGATCTCCTATGAGAAGGAGCGCTTCCAGAGTTGGGACGGACTTCAGCAGGACCAGGAGAAGAGCCTGTGGGAGACTCCTCTTGCAGACATGAGTTGGTTGCTCGGGGAGATCAAGCAGTTTGCTCTGGAGTCCAGTGAGCTGCTGGTCGACGTGCTGCTAGAAGATGGATTTCTGGTTCCGACAGCCGAGCAGCTGGAAACGTTGAGCTGTGATCCCTCAGAGAGGTCCAGTCCCACAGAACCCAGAATCCCTCAGCTCTTCCTGCGGTTCTGGCTGCCCCTACTGAAGATGCTCAATCACCCATCATTCATCCACCTTTTTCTGGAGAAGCTGTTTGCGGAGCTGAAGCTGCTCAGCAGGGAGCAGAACCGTCACCGGGCCTTCTACATTTCTGCTTGGACTTCAGAAGTCCTCCTCTGCAACAACAACAAGAACGAGTACCGCTTTGAAACTAAGGTGCAGAGGAAGTCCCGGATGAAGGACAGGATCTTTGTGCACCGTATCCAGCTGCGGTGGCAGCAGCTGCTCGCAGCATGCCTGGATGCTCCGTGTGTCAGCACACCTCACCTGCTCCAGTTAGTCCTGGATGACATGGAGCATCCCCTCCCTCTAGAAACCCGACAGAAGCTTCTCCAGCTCTGCTCCATCTACACACAAACCACACACACAGAGTCCAGCTCCTCACAGGATCTCACACAACAGCCTGTTTACACCCTGGAGAGTCTGACTGAGAAGCACAGCCATCTGCGGCGGGCGGCGGCGAGCTCAGGCAGCAGCGAGTCCTCTCATGACCTCAGGTGGGCCGACGCTCTGGCTGAAAAAGCAAAGATGCTCAGAGGTTCTCCCTGGCAGGTGTGCACAGATAAGGTCACATGGAAAAACGTTCCCCTGGGAAAAGTCCCCGGACAGTCGGACGACCCGTCGTGTCTCATGGCAGGAACGTATTCGACGATGACTGTGCTCGACCAGCCGGTGAAGCTGGAAAGCAGTGGGACTCAGAACATCCCGGGAGCGTCGGCTCCTTCCAGAACAGCCGAGGGCCTCCTCTGGAGCCAGAGTGACGTGAGCAGACTCAAATCTGAACTGAAGCTCTTCTGAGTCGTGTTATCGTGCAGAAATGTGCTGTAAGGATGTCCACTTGTGTTTTTACACCAAACAAACTGCTGTTTTCTTAACATGCAGATGAAAGCATGAATGAATAAAGTGGTTATGGATGAGAAGAACATTTGATTTAATAGCTTTCAGACTTGTTTTTGTCACTAAGCTAAGTTTTTAACAACAACTCTGCATGTGTCAAACCTATAAAACAGTGATTGTTGCTGTAGATGAGTTCAGAATTAAACATTTAGCCGGTATTGTCAGGCTCAAACCCGTCTGATGGTTTAGGAGCGTGGTAGATGTTGGGCCCTTTCAGCTGAAAATCCAAACCAGCTGTTCTTTTATAAATCCTGTTTTTTTTTCTTCGCATTTATGAAATAATTTTTTCTACTGCCTCTGTTATGGTGATTTACAGAGGCGGGTTACAACATGATGGTACCAGTTACACCTCTAAAACACGTCTTTAACATACAAAATAAAAGCGTCTGCCCTGTAGTACCCGAGTCTGCGCTATAGGTGGCACTGCATGCTGTCCTCAGCAAGTTCAGCGAAGAAGAAGAAGAAGAAAAGGGGAAAAGCCACGATTTTCTGTCCTTGTCCTGCTCCGATCCTTCTAAAGGTTCTTAGAGATTAAGTTGTAGTCTGTGAGACTGGTGTTACACTAGCAGTGATTTATTAACACGCTAGGATTTCACACGTGAAGGTAAGTGTGTGTGTTTGTGTGAGATAGAAGGGAAGGTGTGTTAAAAGCTGCTGCGTCATTCTGAACCCGCTTTAGCTAACCTAGCAGCTAGGCGTGGCATTTCCGTTTCACGTATTAATTTGATAAACATTAACACGCTAAGTCGTATTGTGTATGTTTGTTGTACGTCTGTGTAACAAGCAGCAGCCCAACCGAAGTGAAGTTATTTTTATTTAGCTCCGTTTACGGGAGAGTGGTGCTAGGCTAACAAAGGCCTTTAGCTTTAAGCTATCCAACTAGTCATTTGCTATAGATAATAGTAAATGCTTAGTATGGGAATTATAGAATCTTATTTTTGAGAAACATTCGTGTCGCAAATTTCTGATTTCAACCAGTTTCAAAGGTAGCTTCTCCCAAAGTTGCCGGAGTTTTCAGCGAGTTAGCTAACGTAGGTGAAACGTTCAGCGGAGCCGCGGCGCGTGTTCCACCTGAGCGGGTCTTGTTGCGTTTTGGACCCACGAGCCTTCAGTCAGAAAGATCTGGGTCAGCAGAACTTTGTAGAAGTGAAACAATTTATGCTAATCTGCCTACAAGACTAGTTCAGAAGCTCACATGATTAGCGTTGTCATGGAAATAAACATTTGTAGCTGCTTCCGGTATTTATTGTGACAGTAAAACTTTAGGATTCAAATGGTGACTATTTTCCCCACATTTAGTTTTAGATTAGTCTGAATTACCTTGAATGTGAGGAGATGAGACTCAGGAGAGAAGGACAATCAGTAAAATTAAGTCAAAGTAGAAATGAGTTACTCTGAAGGATTTAGCCAAATATTTAAAGTAATACCATGAGGGTGAGAAATATAAAATATTCATGACGTGTAGAGGAATTTACATTATGGTATAAAATATTTTATAATGACTGTATGATTCTTAAAACGACTTTTTATTTGTCGACTTGTTCTACGCGGTTAGAGCTGCTGCCTTGCAGCAATAAGGTCCTGGGTTCGATTCCTGGCCTGGGATCTTTCTGCATGGAGTTAGCATGTTCTCCCTGTGCATGCGTGGATTCTCTCCGGGTTCTCCGGCTTCCTCCCACAGTCCAAAAACATGACTGTTAGGTTGATTAGTCTGTCTAAATTGTCTGTCTGTGTGTGTGTGTGTGTGTGTGTGTGTGTGTGTGTGTGTGTGTGTGTGTGTGTGTGTGTGTGTGTCTCTGTGTTGCCCTGCGATGGACTGGCTCTCTGTCCAGGGTGTACCCCGCCTGATTGCCCATTGACCGCCAGAGATGGATGGATGGACTTGTTGTACGCTGTAGTATATTAAAATATCCATAAGTCCTAGCTGTTTATTGTTATGTTTCATAGTTTATTATTTAATAAAGTTTTAGTTGAACAAAAATTTACATTTAATGTTTCTTTGTAAATCTTACATTAAAAAATCTAATGTGTTGTTGTCTTCTCTACAGACCTAGATCTTTAAGGTCTTCTTTCAGACGGCATCTCTGTGGTCCAGCTGTTACCTCAATGATCACCAGAAGAAAAAGCCACATCATGAGCACCACAGAGGTGCTGTCAGAAGAGGTTGAGGTTGTAGATGCTGTGGAAACTGTTGAAGACCTCCCAAGGCCGTCTGAGGGGATCCACATGGATGACACAGATCCTGCTGGAACTGAGCTGGATGACCTGCTTGAAGATTTTAAATGGACTCTTGAAAAAGAAGATTCCTCTTCTCTCTTTGACATCGACTTGTCTGATCTGGGCGACTACGCTGTCAGAGACCAGAACTCCGGCTTTGATGTTTCAGCTGCCTCGTCTCCAGAGAGATCATCGTCCGAGTCCAGGATGAAGAACAGACACAATCAGTCGAGGCGTGTCATTAACAAAAATGCCATTGCTGCCAGGTTGAATCGTCTCAAGAAGAAGGAATATGTCAGCAGCCTGGAGAAGCAAGTGGGCCTTTTATCAGTAGAGAACACGGGGCTCAAACAGGAGAACTCTCAGCTGACCAAGCGGGTGGAGGAGTTAGAAGATGAAACCAGGTATCTGAGGGCTGTGCTGGCCAATGAGAGCATGTTAGCCCAGCTCTTGTCCAGACTGAGCGGTGTGAATGGGATGAAATTATCTTCCTCGCTTTTCCAGGGCCCTGACTCAAATGACCACGATTATGCGTTGCCCAGGAAGCGGGCGAGAGTGGTGGAGAAACAGACATCTGGCGGCGTGTGTCTGCACGTAGACAAGAACCACGTCTCAGTGGAGTTCTGCACTAAGTGTGCAGAGAGTGCAAGCACGACGCTCACAATGTAGGGTCAAGTACTTCTCTTTGTTTTCTGCGAGTGAGGCAGAGCCTCGTGTTCTGACCCGCTGCAGGGTGGATGAACTATGAGTAATTCAGCTGACATAGGTTCTGCAGGATGTGCATGTCATTTCTGAGTGTGTGTTGGTGGAATGTGTACACGTTACTGCTAAACCTTGTTGACAGTTTCTTCTAGGTAAGGGTTGCTCCACCATGCGGGATGAGTGGCTTTCTGATCACCTGTCCCTGCTGGGCTCCATGGTAAGGATCCGTCCAGACCAGACTTGTTTTCTGCAGGCTTCAGCGCTCAGCAGCAACCTTGTGTTAGACTTCCTGATCATGCTAGAGCATTTAGAGCGCTGCTCATTACGTCATACCAAATGTTTCCATAGCAGCTAACTTCAAATGTGCTAAGATGTTGATTTGAAGGCGTGGGTCCACAAAGAGTAATCCTACATGGTCGTTCTAATCGGAAAGAAAGTAGTTCCTACTTTAACGAAAAGCATCTCGTGTTTTGGTGAGAGAGGCTCTTTGTGAACCAACGCCACTGTTAGAAGAATACTTTCATTTAGCACCACCTATTTTCTTTTATGCTAAAGTGGATTCTGCTGATGGGAGGTGAAGAGGCCGGACACGCTGCTGCCAACATGGCCTGGTATTTTTGTAAAGGTAGTATCGGTAACAAACGGTACATGTGATTCATATTTTACCAACATCCTGCCAGCTGCTGCGTCACTCAGCAGCGCTAAGAGAAGCTTTGTATATATTTATATTTGGGATGTACAGCCAACACAAACTACTGTAAAAGTTGACTTTTTAATCTAAATAATCTGTAAATGTTTAACTTTGAAACCATTTTTGTTTTGAGTTAAATGGATTTTGATGAATGAACGAATAAATGAAGCTGTGTTTGAGTTGAAATGACAAATACGCTCTGTGTTGTTGATATTAATGCCTCTCTCTTTCTCTCTCTGAACAGCAAGCTCTCTGCCGATACAGGGCTAACTTTTCCTGAACATTTGGGTCGAGTCTGGTAAAGGTTGTCAGAACAAATGACCAAGTCTTCAGTTGATGTCAGCAGTTAGCAGGGCTGTAGAGTGTTCTGGTCACGCTTCATAATCCTGATGAAACCATTAATGATTTCATCCGTTTGGCGGGTGAGAAGTAACCGCGTCGCCTGGTTTGTTTCTGTTCTGCAGAACAATAGCCGGGAGGGTCCGGACAGGTTTTCACTTTCCCAACAGCAGAGATGAACAGTTAAAGGAGCCGTCGTGAGTTTCTCCTCAAGTCGATGCAGATCTTTAGTAACGCAGCGCGTGTTTAACCAGAATAACCGTCTAAAGACTCAAATGTGGTCGGCCACCAAGTTCATGCAGGCTGACTGAATACATATTTTATATAATGTATATATTATCTCCTGCAGCAGCTTCTGATAGATAATAGTCTCCTACACCTACCTCCTGCTGGTAGAAAACAGACGGTGAAACTAGCATAGAAAATCCTGACAGATCTACGTCACACCGTCACTAACACTCATGGGCTCACGACGGGGAAGGCTGTTGGTTTAGTGTCCAGGAAACAGCAGAGAACGTCTCAGCTAGTAGAAGCTAACTGCAGCTAGTAGAAGCTAACTGTTAGCAATGCCACCACAGCAGAACTCCTCCAGGCCTGTGTTGTTTGTGGGGATAAAACATTCCAGAGCAGACCGAGTCAGTGGTAGAGTCGTGCTGCTCACTAAGTCCCAGAGGTTAAACTCTAGGGGTACCTGCAGAATTTAGCTTTTGCCCAAATTTCTGCAAGAGTAGAAAAAGCAGGAATGCAGAGCTTGGGATGAAAACGTGGTTTTCCTGCTGGTCTGACAGAAGTTCGCTTACATCTACAGCTTCAGAAATCCTCGTGGGAAACGACTTGAGTCTTGAGACGACTCTTTCTGGCGCTTTATAAATAAACTGGATTGAAACACCGTTCTTGATCTTGTTCCGTTGCAGGAACTACTCGTGACGTGGCGTGTCGTGGAAAAATAGTTGATTTCAAAACCAAAGTAGAAATGTTTGTTTTTTGCTGAACCTTTAGATTTGAGCCGAGACGGGTTGTCGGATCTCATGAAGCAATCATGTTTAATTTCTTTGGTGCGGGAGAACATGAGCTTTACGATGAAGAGGTTTCGTCATCATACGTAAGAAGACTCCCCCTAGTGGCTGGCTGCAGAACACATCCCCAAACTGCTAGATGGATGGAATTGGATGGTGAACCGTTTCTTGCCAACTTGGTTCTTGTGGGTTTTATCCTGCTGGGTTTGTAGAGGAGCCCAAACTCAAACCCGTTAAGTTAACCTAAGCCCGTTTTATTCTTTAACTATTTTACCTAAACACGTTTCCTGTGATCCTCCCCTCGCTTCACTAGCCGGCTGCGTGGTGGCTGAAGCCACGACCAGAGTACAAGCTGTTAAAGTGCTGGCGGCCATCATGACGAAGCTGATTTACTTCAGTAATTCCATCCAAAAGGTGGAACTTGAGTATTCGATTCATCCATCTCACAGACTGATATATTTCAAATGTTTTATCTTTAATGTTTATTATAACTGACTAATGAAAATCCCCAAGTCAGCAATTGGGTTCAGTACTGAAGACCTCTGGCGCCACTCACTCACTCTAATCAGCTAGTCAACCCAACCCTTTAAATGGTCTCAGTCTAGTTCGGTAGGCTACTCAATCATGGGGAAGACTGCTGACTTGACAGTTGTCCAGAAGAGACCACCTTGCCACAAGGAGGGCAAGACTCAAAAGGTCATTGGACACAGAGCTCTGAGCATCCAGGCTCTTTAGCAAGCACATGAATAGAGCGGCGAAGGGAAGGGTGGTAGAAAAAGCGTCCAGCAACAGGGATACCTGCACCCGGAAAGGATTGTGAATCAAAATCCATTCAGAAAGGAGATTCACAAAGAGTGGACTGCAGCTAGAGTTGGTGCTTCAAGAACCACCACACAGACGTATCAAGCCCCTCGACCAAGAGGCAGCGCCAGAAGCGTCTCGCCCGGGCTAAAGACCGAAAGACTGGACTGCTGCTGAGTGGTCCACAGTGATGTTCTCTGATGGAAGCAAAATTTGCATTTCCTTTGGAAATCAATGTCCCAGAGTCTGGAGGAAGAGAGAAGCACAAAATCCACGTTGCTTGATCTCCAGAGTCAAGTTTCCACAGTCGGTGATGGCTTGGATTTCTCTATCTGCTGGTGGTGGTCCAGTGTTTTCTGAGGTCCATGGTCGAAGCAGACGTCCATCAGGGAGCTTTAGAGCACATGATGCTTCCTGCTGCAGACCAGCTTCATGGAGATACAGGTTTCATTTTCCTACAGGACTTGGCACCTGCACACAGCGCCAAAGCTACCGGTCCCTGTTTTAAGGACCATGGTGTCCCTGTTCTTGACTGGCCAGCAAACCGAGATCTTCTATGGGGATCGGGTGTCGTGAAGACCGTTCAGAAGAGCTGAAGGCCACTATCGGCGCTACATGGGCTCTCCTGAGCAGTGCCCCGGGCCACTCTGCAGTAGTCTAGGCCAAAGGAGCCCCAACCAAACATGCTCCTGGTTTTGCATCTGTTTGAACTAATGTTGTAATTCTGAGATTTGGCATTTTCATTAGTTGTCCGTTATAATCATCAACATTTAAAACGATGTGATGGATGAGTCTAAAGCACAAGCTCCACTTTTAGGATGGCATTGCTGATATTCTAATTTATGACCAGCACCTGTGTCACCAAAGTGAATGGGCGGAGCTACAGGGTAGCCTTGTGGAGATGCTAAACAGGGATTGTGAGCCTGGCCTGTGGGATTAGCTCACCCTCCCGCAGGGGATTCCTGTCTAGCCTGTTATGTTTGTTTCTCTGCTCCAACACACCTGATTTAATGGTGGAATCAGGTGTGTTGGAGCAGAAACATGCTGGATGGAGGTCACAGGACCAGGGGGAGGCACCACTGAGTCACAGGAGCCTTCATGAGAAACGTGTTATTTACTCACCGATGATCCGTCTGGGAGGTTCAGAGTTCCTCACAACGATCGACGCTGAGCACCGGACACTAAACTATAACAGTTTCCTGTTTCAAGGATTGGAGCAAAAGCTGAATGTTCTGATCTCACGTTGGAACGCTTCTGCTTATCGGACAGAAAATGAAGTTTCTTATCCGGTAAAGGTGAGGGTTCTATAAATAACGTGTGACATGATTGTTCTGAACGATGGCGACCATAAGCACACCTGATCCTGCAGGCCCGGTTGATCTGGGCCCAACCCGTCCCTTTATGGGACATTCCTGAAACTGAGCTGACCCATCCCAGATGGACTCTGGACCGGATCAGCTCCATCTGAACGTCTGACAAACATTTCCTAAAGTTTTCATTTTTAAATAAAGATGATAAAACATCTTCATGTCTGCAATCCAATCAGAAGTCAGCATTAGGGTCACCTGTTAGCAGCTGTGCAATGCCCAATCCTGAAATCTGACTCATCCCAGTCTCCTGGTCACATGATCTGCAAGATATTCCTAAAAATATGACAAATTAAATATGTCTGAAAATGTTTCAAATGTGAACACCGGGCTCTTTGGTCAGTGACCTTTTATCTACTTGGTCCAGACACTAGGACATCTGCTTCAGGATGGAGTAAACCCACTAGAGCGAACCGCGTCTGACCGCGAGCGTAGAACATCAGCTCAGCTGCAGAATGGCCCTCGCATCAGTAAAACCTGAGATGGGGTCAGGAGATCCTGAGTCCTCGCTAAAACCAGCAGTAACCATGACAGCACGAAGATCTCCACAGAAACGAGGAGGAGCTGGCAGGTCAGCGGCTCTGGCTGGAGAACAAGCTCGGTTTGCAAAGAGAGTAAAGATCGGATTCTGGAGCAACGGAAGAAGGTCGTGTGGAACAAGCTGAGACTGGCCTGCTTCCAGCAGCATCAGGAGAAACGATGCCCATCATGCCTAGGCATGGACGTAATTTTGTGGGGGGACAGGGGGGACATGTCCCCCCCACATTTCCAAAGTCAAGTTTTGACCCCTGCACTTTTTACCATCCCAAAACAATATCACGTTATATTAAATTGACACTGGTTGAGCTCTAGGACCAAGTGGAAAACAACCGTTTGTGTTGAAGCCTGTTTCCCATTAGAACATACTGTAAAGATACCCCGCCCCCCATGTCCCCCCCACTTCTAAAATGAAAATTGCATCCATGTGCCTAGGGCCCGTGGGGGCAGTCTGAACTGGGTTAGCTGCAGGTTGTCCGGTCAGCTGACTACCTGGATAAACCACGTTATCCCATCATTCCTTCCCTGATGGCAAGATGACGATGCTGGGACTCGTCAGACCCTAACCCCGCTGGAGACCCCACCACCAGTACCGCAGATGGAGCCGGTGCCGTAGTCCGAGCTGAAGGCCAGCGGTTCTGGCTCAGGCGACACGAACAAACCACACAAAACCACTCAGACTTTGTCAAAGTTATTATTGTAGAATATTTAGAAGTATTTTCTTTCATACAGACAAAAGGTGTTGGACTTATTTCCCATTAAATTCTCTTAGATTTCAGTACAGATTTAGTCTACAGTATACAGGTGTGTTCTTCCTCATATATAGGTATTTATGGGCTTAAATAACAGGCAGGTAACTCTTTAATATAGTCTTTATGTTTTCTTTACTTTTGCTTCTTTTTTACTTTTTTTGGTCTTTTAAAAGTATTTTAGCACAGCCGAGGAGCTGAGGCTGTGTTTTCTGTCTGCAGGAACAGCTGGCTATGGGGGGGTGCCATGCATATTTACAGCGGTGTGTATGATGGGTGATTAGTGCCCCTCCCAGCATGGCAGTAAGGTCTGGTGGCAGATCTACAAGAGCAGCCTAAACAGCGGTGTGATGACGCGCTGCACTTCTGCGTTCTCTAGCTCTGCGTCACCCCCCCACATCAAAACGACTCCTCGGCTGTTGGGAGGACAGAAAACACAGCCCTGCTCAGGAGAATGTGCAACTGTTTCTCCACCTGTGCTGGAGAAAATCATAATATACAAGCGCCTCCGTTTTGTTGTCCCCCTCTTTACAAAAGCAAACATGTGGAGCAGGAGCATCGCACCTGTAAATGAGACGCACACCTGGGCGGTCTGTACAGCTGTGGTGCAGTTGGACACGTGATCATTCTGATGTTCTTTTCACACCGTGGTTCTCCTGTGAAGCTGTCACGACCTAACGTGGCTGGACGGGCAGATGTCTGTTGGGTCGGTGCGTCTCAGATAAACTAGAGCAGGGTTTTATTCCAGGTGTGTGTGTGAGATAAAGAGGAAGGAAGCAGGTGTGGAGAGAGAACAGCACACAGAAGTGACAGTTGCCTAAATGATTTACCAACACATAAAGAGTGACATTAATGATACCAAATGCATGCAGACTGATACAGGGTCACCCCCCCGCTGCGCCGACGAGTCAGGCGACGATGGCGATGATGATGAAGACGAAGAGCGTCCGAGAAGACAAGAGTTCTGTACAGGTGAGGGTGATCCCAGAGAGCCCTACCGACCTGAAACACGACTAGGACAGGTGTGAGACTCGCTGAGGGGGGGGGATGTCGCGTTCTGAGGCAAAATGACATCAGTGGTTTCCCACACCTAGTGCAACGAGGGTTACAGATGAGAGATGGGGGCTCAGTCCTGGTCTGGAATGTGGTTTGGAATGTATGATCCATGGGAATGTTGGGACAGCTGGACCCATGAGCAGCCGTGTGAGGACTAACAAGCAGAGCCCTTTAGGGCCCAGGCTTCTGGAGCAGAAGGATCTTGGAGCCACGTTTTAGCAGATGGGATGCTTCCGTGAGGAAAGTTGGAGGAGAACCGGCGATCCCAAATTCGTGTTTTAGCCTCCAGATCACAACAACCCCCAGCTAACATGAGAACATTAACCTACGCCAGGTGCGTACAGCGTTCTGCAGAGACCCTGGGGTCTGGTGGGTCAGGTCACGCCGGGCTCCTGGGTTTTTGTGCGAAGGTCATGAGTCCTGCTCGTGCCTCGTTCCACCCTCGGCAACACCAACAGCTCACCGCTGACGCTCCCAGGTACGTCAGAGCTGACTACACGTAAGACGGCTTTAGTCACCAGTGCACTGTTTTACGTCTAGTAAAGGCTTGTGATCAAGCGTTAGGGCCCGGCACTGATCCAGAGGCTCCAGGGCGGCGCTGTCCTCCTCCAACCTTCAGGATCGACCCGTAACGACACGTCACGATGAGGGCGGGACACGGGCTCGCTCCTGAGCCACAGACTGATGACGGCTGAGGTTTAACATCCAACAGATCAAACTAAACATCACATCTCTTCGAGGTGGAGGCGACCCAGCGGCGTGAAGCTAAACGAGTTCGCCTTAAAGGGCCGTCGCCTGTGCATCGTGTGTGTCTGATGGCGCTTAAAGGGTTAATGCTCCTGCGTTCAGCTTTCCTCCAAAAAGAAAGAAGCCCCCTCTCTCCCTCACACACACACACACACACACACACACGTCGACAAGAGGGAGGACCAGCAAGAGAGAAGACAACGAGACATCCCACACACTCCTGTCATAACAGGTCAAAGGTCACGTGGAGGTGGGGTGGCATTTGGGGACTGATGGAGCTTGGTGAACATGGGCGATGCCCCACCGCAGTCTTTCCTATGTCCTAACACACACACACACACACACACAGATGGGAATGAGAAAGTCTGGAGTCAGGTGTGTGACGGTGGTCGTGGCAGTAATGATGATGCAAGTCCCCCCCCCCGGACTTTAACTCAGAACAGCGACAGCGAGTGTGACAGGTAAGGATGGGCGGAGCCAGGTGGATGAGGAGAGGGGAGGGATGAAGGAAGTAGAAGTTGTTCTCCAGGACCTGTGAGCAGACGAGACGTCTCCGGTCATTGTCCTCTCCCTCGTCCCGCGCTCCCTGCTGTGAGCTCATCGTGAGGTAGGCTGGAGGAAAATGTCATCATCAGTCCTCCTCCCTCCCTCCCTCCCTCCCCCTTGTCTCCACCAGTCATAAGGAGGTCTCCACACAGAAGAGATGTGGCGGGTGAGGAGCACAGAGTCTAGCGGGCTGGTTGTGATGGCGGCTCCGGGTTGCAGGGAGGACTTTGGTGACTCTGAGTCTGTTACCGTGGGTAACCGTGGAGTCGCTGCTGCTGCTGTTGTTGTTGTTGTTTCTGTTGCACGGTGTCACCGGGAGGCTGTACTGGCGGTACGGACGGGTGGGCCGGATGCGGGCGGGGGGCTGGGCAGGAGGAGGCGGCGGCTTGCGGAGGGCAGGGTGAAGGTGCTGGTATCTGCTGAGCTCTGATTCGTCATCCACGTCGGTGTCGTCGATCAGCGGGATGTTGTGGATGAGGTCGTTGATGAGGAACTCTGGGTGGGCCATGAAGTTGTGGATGGAGTTGCGGGATTCTGGTTTCTCGCAGCCGTCGTAGAGCGAACTACGGAACGCTTTCACCACCCGCATCTGCCAAGATGGAGGCAGACGAAGAGAGAAGCCATGAGGAGACAGACAAACAGGAAGTCAGAGTTTAGAAAAGAAACAGGCAGCAAGGAAACCCAGAGACAGACGTGTGTCCTCCAGAAGACAACCAGACGGACGCTCAGGACCAGGTGGAGCTGAAAATCATCTGTCCTAACCCTAACCCCAACTCGTCCCCTAGCCCTGACCTAAAACCGGCTCGGATGAAAGCTTTAATCCTTTTTCATGACTTCATTATTTTAGCATCAAAACTTTAGCAAACATTTCAAGTTGGATCCAGGAAGTAGCCAGACCCGCTCTTCTACACGACCTGTTTTTATGCTGAAAGCAGCGACCGAGCAGCAGGCGGGTCCGGGTCACGTGTCTGGTTCAACTAGTCTCCATCTAGCGTTACATCATCGCCCTAACGTCAGCCCCACATCCACCTGGTCCCGCGCCTCCAGCTGTGACAGGATGAGTGAATGAACACATGAGAGTTTCAAGATGAGTTTATGATGAATTTCGTCAGTTCTCACAAACCATTCAGACAACAAAAACACTCAGCGGCCAACACGTGTGTGTGTGTGTGTGTGTGTGTGTGTGTGTGTGTGTGTGTGTGTGTAAGCACCCACATCTCACACACAGATCACATACGTACTCTCACAGATGGTGTTGGGCATGAATGGAGAAGAAGCTGGGATGGTGAGTGTGTTAGTTTCAGGCAGGGTGAAGTAGGCAGTGACCACACACACACACACACACACACACACACACACACACACACGGAAGCATGCAGCAGCGGTGTGTATCTGAGTGAGCTGAAGTCGTCTCCACATCCTGCGGTTCGGCGGCTGGTGTCTACATGCACTAGACAGCTGTCAGTCATGGGGCTGGTGGTTAGAGAGAGCTGGTTCAAACACAAAATCATTCTTGCAGCACGGAAAGCTCCGCCTCGCAGAATCAGCAGGTGGTAAAGAGCGTGTGATTGGTTAGAGGACTAGAAACAGAAGGTGATTGGTTGAAAGGCCAGAGTGAAGCAGCCCTGTGACATACAGAGAGTTCATGCTGAATCAGGTCTGTCACCAGTGTTCTCACACACACACACACACGCACGCACGCACACACACACACACACGCACACACTCACGCACGCACACACACTCAGCGTCTGCGTGCAGGAACACATTCTTGTGCTGTGGCTGCAGCTCCATGCACCCATCCCTCAAACCCAAACAGAGGAGAGAAGCAGCGTGAGCTCAGAGGAAACAAAAACAGTCGAGAGCAGATTTACTGACAGGCAGAAGCAGCAGAGCCCTACATAGAGACCGTTTGGCCAGACCAGATCAAACGAGGCCAGGCTTGCTGTCCCTCGGATGGAGATCATTGCTGCAGCTGGCCACACAGGAGAAGTCTTTATATATGACTCTGGCTCATGTGGACAGAGACAGACAGGCAGACAGACAGGCAGACAGACAGGCAGACAGACAGGCAGACAGACAGACAGACAGACAGACAGGCAGACAGAGACAGACAGACAGACAGACAGACAGGCAGACAGACAGACAGGCAGACAGACAGACAGACAGACAGACAGACAGGCAGACGGTCAAGCAGTAGGTTCAGTGCTTATCTGTTTTTCCAAAGAGCCAGTCAGTCGGCAGAAAAACACCTCATGCAGGTTTCAGAATGTTACTCTCTCACTTCATCCGTGTTCTGTTTGTTTTCATTTTGTCGCCATGGAAACAGTAAACTTTCGAGTATATGACGCCCACAAAGTGACCTGAGAGGTCAAGAGGTCAGGGCACTGCTGTTATTCCCTCCCTGTCGGCTCTTTCAGCAGCGCTTGATGGAAAGGCGGTGATGGGTAAGAGGTTGAGGAGGAAACAGGCGCTGCGGCGGAGGAAACAGGCGCTGCGGCGGAGAAGCCGCTGCGGGCGAAACACAGATGCAGGGAGAAGCTGTGAGCTGGATGACTGGTTAATGTTTCCCTCAGCTTCACCGCGCCACCACCGAAACTCCTCCCGTCTCCCAGGAGCCCGGAGCTCTCCTGACTGAGGGGAACGGAAGTCCGCCTGATAACACGTGGGAAATGAAAACAAACTGGATCCAGGAATCGTTTCTCAGGATCCGAAGAGATCACAGCTCAGGTAGACGGAAGCATGGCGTTTATTAAAGGATTCAAACATCGCCGTGGCAACACCAGACCTGCAGCACCCGCCCTCAAAGGACTCTGGGTGTTGGAGTTTTGCTGGAGTCAGAGACTCACAAAGAATAATTATTGACCCAAACTGAGCATTCGGTTGACCTCTCACCCCTTCTCTCACGTTTAACCTTCACACACACACACACACACACACACACATGGAGGAAATCTGCTCGCTGGTTATTTCTTGTTTCTTTGACATTGAGCTCATGTCGCTGGAAGCCTGACCAGTCATCTTCATCACTCGGAGGCACTCGGAGGGACTGGCTAAATGTTGGTGGCCCATTAGCAAACATCTAGAGGGAAGTAGGGTTTATGGAGCACGCCGTACGACTGGAAACAGCTGATTAAAGACAGGCGAGCACGTCCGCGTTGGACCAATGAGGAGCACAAACCCAGGACCGGTGCTTCCTGGTTCTGATTGTGTCAGAGAATCAGAGGGTTCGGGTTAGTGTAGTTGCGTGTCGGAACCGCACCTGTGACTCTTCTGCGTGAGGTGGACCGGATCAATCACCTTTGAGATGCGTCCATTTCCTGACGCGTCTCAAAGGTGATTCCAGCTCTATGTCGTCTCCAACCCTAACCCAACCCGGTTTCCAGCCCATCTAAGCGTTCTGGAGCCCAACGAGATTCAGAAAAGATTCTCCATCAGAACCAAAAGCTTCCTGTTTGGCCGAAGAACAGCTGAAGCATTCGGGTCAGTGACGGCACAAGCTGCAGGCTGTCGGCGTCGTGAGCATGTTAGCATGCTGACACGAGCTTTAGCACGTGAACCGTGACGTATGCTGCAGGCTTCCATCCAGCCTCAAGTTTCTGGGCCAGAATAACCAGAACCAAACCCAAATGCTGCATTTGATCAGTCTCATTGTCAGAAGAAGCCGACATCTCTAACGAGGCTGCTGCTGTGTTTGCCAGCTCTGAGTCTGTTTGGTTCCCGTCAGGAACAGAACCGGAACCGGAGCCGGACGGCTGCAGTCCAGATTTCTCAGAACAGACTCTTCATGTTGTGGTGAAGCGATGAACTGGAGGCAGGACCTCCACACTTCCACTCCGGCTCAGAGGCTCCTGTCTGGTTCTGATTCTGGAGCTGACCCTGATGCGGCAGCCTGATGAAGTGAAGGATGTTTGACCACCTCCTCCCAAGAATGAAGCTCGGATCGGTTCCTATCGGCTGTGCAGGATGAGGGGTGAGCAGCGCCATCTCACACCTCTGCTTCTACTCCTACAGGTGATGGAGGAGGGTGGGGAGGAGGTCAGCGTGGAGGTGGGATGGGGAGGGGGGTGACGGGAAGGATCAAGAAAGGTAAGGATAAGCAACTGAGAAAGCAAATGAAGACGAGGAGACATGCATGCACACACGTCTACACACACTCCAGAAAACACACGGCCCAAACGGCGGCCCTCCGATATGTCAGCAAATGCATCGTACGAGTCACGCGTCACGCTCTCAGGCACACGCGCAGAACTGACGGTCCAAAACCAAATAGGACAACACATGAAGGATGGAGCGACTCTAGTAAGGACATGGGAGGATGAGGTAAAAGATGTGAAAACAGAGGGTGGGGGGGAGGACAAAAAGATGAATCAACTCACTAAAGAAACCTCATCAGTGTTTGACACAAGAGCCTGCATTTAGATCCGTTCAAATCTAAATAGCTCCACAAGAGAACAGCCGGACGAGTGAAGAACAGTCAGAGAAGAGTTCAGGGACCTCCCTTCAAACAGGGAACCTGCATCGTCTCATTAATAGAGAGAGAGAGAGGCTGGGAGGTAGAGGGAGAGAGAGAGAGAGAGGCTGCGAGGGAGGTAGAGAGAGAGAGAGAGAGGCTGGGAGGGAGGTAGAGAGGTAGAAAGAGAGAGAGGCTGCGAGGGAGGGAGAGAGAGAGAGGCTGGGAGGTAGAGGGAGAGAGAGAGAGGCTGGGAGGTAGAGAGATAGAGATAGAGAGGCTGGGAGGGAGGTAGAGAGAGAGAGAGAGGCTGGGAGGTAGAGAGATAGAAAGAGAGAGCGGCTGTGAGGGAGGTAGAGAGAGAGAGAGGCTGGGAGGGAGGTAGAGAGGTAGAGAGAGAGAGGCTGGGAGGTAGAGAGGTAGAGAGAGAGAGGCTGGGAGGGAGGTAGAGAGGTAGAGAGAGAGAGGCTGGGAGGTAGAGAGGTAGAGAGAGAGAGGCTGGGAGGTAGAGAGGTAGAGAGAGAGAGGCTGGGAGGTAGAGAGATAGAAAGAGAGAGAGGCTGGGAGGGAGGTAGAGAGAAAGAGAGAGAGGCTGGGAGGGAGGTAGAGAGAGAGAGAGGCTGGGAGGTAGAGAGGTAGAGAGAGAGAGGCTGGGAGGTAGAGAGGTAGAGAGAGAGAGGCTGGGAGGGAGGTAGAGAGGTAGAGAGAGAGGCTGGGAGGGAGGTAGAGAGGTAGAGAGGGAGAGGCTGGGAGGGAGGTAGAGAGAGAGAGAGGCTGGGAGGGAGGTAGAGAGGTTAAGAGAGAGAGGATGGGAGGGAGGTAGAGAGGTAGAGAGGTAGAGAGAGACTGGGAGGGAGGTAGAGAGAGAGAGAGAGAGGCTTGGAGGGAGGTATAGAGAGAGAGAGACTGGGAGGGAGGTATAGAGAGAGAGAGAGGCTGGGAGGGAGGTAGAGAGGTAGAGAGAGAGGCTGGGAGGTAGAGAGGTAGAGAGAGAGAGGCTGGGAGGGAGGTAGAGAGAGAGAGAGAGAGAGAGAGGCTGGGAGGGAGGTAGAGAGGTAGAGAGAGAGTGGCTGGGAGGGAGGTATAGAGAGAGAGAGAGGCTGGGAGGGAGGTAGAGAGGTAGAGAGAGAGAGGCT